CAGGTTGCACTTACCAGGAGTCGGCGAAACCGACTGGATACAATCTGGACAGTAAAAGCTCAGCTTGGGGGAACGTATTCTGGAAGGAAAGTTGCGGAATGAGTTGAAATCATTTTGAGTAAGTATTCCCAGGAATCCTTTAGAGAATGGGAACCACACGGGGAAAGAAACATTAAAGCTTTATTTACAACTAGGAGTAAGAGCATCAACACTTTGGTGATGATGAGTAAAACGTGTTCCCGCTTCCGATCCGGACATTGGGGATTGCCTTGTTAGTGCGACAACTTCCTGGGCCTTCGGCATATTGTGGTAGGGTGGCCAGTTCCTTTCCACGCCGCCTTTACTTCCCCAACTCAAAGTCAGGTACACATTACTGCTTGGTGGGCAGGAGGGGTCGGAAAAAATCCGCGTCCGAACCGAAGCTCGAACTCGCACTTTCCGCTTCGGAGACGATCCCGTATCAATGTATTGCTCTAGGACTGCCCCAAGGACCCCCCTCTCTCCTGTGCTTTTCAATGTGTACACTGCACAGGACTAACGATGCATCAGAAGGAATCTGGACGTGTCCTGAGCTTTGCGGATGACATAATGGCATGCGAGCACGGAGATGACAGACTTCAGATGGCAAGGAACATGGAGAAAAGACTTCACTCAGTTGTAAAATGGTGCGACCAAAATGAAGCAGTTATCAATCCTTCAAAGGCACAGGTACTTTGGTGTTCACTCAACAACAGGATTGTCCAAGACAAAACTCCACCAATCACTCGCAACTATGAGATCATCGACAGACAGTCAGAGCTGAAGTATCTGGGAATCGTCTTCGACAGGTCGTTGTCCTTCAACAAGCTTGGGGATCATGTGGTTACAAAGGCCAAACGAGGTGTTGGTGCAATCAAGACCATGGCGGCCTCTCTGATTCCGCAAAGAGTTCTCTTCCTGATGTTGCAGCTGATCGTCCTGTCTGTCATAGATTACGGATTAGGCAGTCTCACGCTGTCCGACACATAGATCGCAAAGCTGGATCGAGTGCAGCATGAGGCAACGAGAGCAGTGCTGAGCTGCTCCAAGGACACTCCAATATTGTGCATGCACTACTTGCTATGTTTAAGTGGAATCAAAGTACGCCATAAGACAGCTCAGGCAAAGATGTATCTCAGTGTAATGGGCAGGAAGGATCATCCACTTCACAAAGCACTTCATGACAACTAGAGTGGCAGAATCAAAAGAGGAAAATCTTGGATGACGGAAATAGAGGATTCCCCCCCCCAGAAAAATCGGTGTACCTGAGAGCCTACCACTTGGTAAAGAATGGGAACAGGTGGCAGGAGAATACAGGGACTTCACTAAGGTCAAAATAAGCATGGGCAGAGACAGAAGAAATGTTGCGGCTTCCATCAACGAGAGCGATATTAACGAGATTGTTAACACAAATTCAAAAGCAGGGGATCCTGTAATTTATACAGATTATGGTTAATTGAAAAGAGATAGCCAGCGAAATGGATGGGGATTTGTTGCATTTGCCAACAATAAAATCATACGCAGTGCATCTGGAGCCTGCAGCAGGGCTACATCAAGTATGCGAATGGAAAATGAAACCATCTCGAAAGCACTTGATTGGATGACCCAAGATCGCCCCCACACAACCCATGATGTTCATATCACTGATTCCATGTGTACCCTCAGAAGGCTGGAAAAAAGGTTTCCTGAGAACAGAATGGATTCAAGTTGTCGAAGCAACGCCTATACGATCGCTCACGTGGATTTTCTGCCCTGGCCATGCAGGTGTTACGGGAAATGAAAAAGCCGACAGACTGGCCGATGAGGTCATCTCAGTTGACAGCACGTTTCAACCAGATAGGGTCGAGATCCTGAAATGTCTCTCTGCCAGCTAATTGAGGAGGAGGATAGGGGTCAGGCAGAGGCCAGTACTGCTGTGGAGAGGATAATGATTTTGGGAATACAAAAAGGAAGCGGAAAATCTTGCATCCTTGCAGGAAAGAACAGAAGAACGTTCAACAAGATTATGCACTGGCACAATCATTGGGAAGACCCTCGTTTCATGAATATCGACATCGATCTGATATTATTGTAAAAATTCCCATTATGATCTTTGTTGCCATTTGAAATAGATTAAGTTTTTGAGTCGTATTAAAGCAGGCAACTAGAAGTGCGAGATGAGCCCGTAAGTGGGGTCCCAATTTTGTATTTTTTTCTGTGGAACTCCAGGTAATTATAATAATAAACATTTTATTAACTCTTGTCATTAAGTTTTCAAGAAATCACACTACCGGTAGGTGTAAGCAGTGTTTTCAGCAATTGTGTAAAACCAAAAGTAATCAGATTTGCTAGCCCTATTTTACCTTTCTTTTCTCAGAAAGGTATTTTAAAAAATGTTGGGTCTATCATACTTAAAATTATTGTAAAATAACATTCATCAATGAGGAAACATGAGCTCCACGAATTTTAACTTCCAACTGCTGGTAACTGCTAGGTCATACGCTTACACATTTTAGTTGAGCGTCGAGACCCCCAGTCCCTAAACAAGGCACGAAGACAACACTGAGTTTTCTGCTACCCTGCTCATCAAAATCAATTTGTTGAACACTGCAAATGATTTAGAAATCAGTAATTTGGTCAGATGTGTTTTATGCGTATTTTCATTTTGTTTATCAGCATCTTAGTTATTTGAGTCTTGTCCGAGTGCGATATGATGGAATGAGTCATGAATATTACATGAATATAAACCCAGCCTACTCTGTCCGTATCCTGTGTCATCCTGAGTACAAAGTACGTCAACTCGAGAGTCACAGCGTGACAGTGTAACAGTTGTTGCAAGTTTATAAGGCTTACTTTCTATGTGTTTTGAAAAGTGGTTTGTATAGTATGATAAACAAAGTAAGCCTAAAGTAAAGAGAATAAAGGTGAGTGAGTTGTCATCATCATATATGTATATGTGATAAAATGATGCTGGCCCAATAACAATTGAAGTTTAGACTTTAGTAGTGGCTTTTTTTTTTGGCCTGCACTATTTCTCCGAACGTTCGGGAAAATAAAGCTAGGCACTATTTCTCCGAACGTTCGGGAAAATAAATAAAGCTGGGCACTATTTCTCCGAACACTCTGAAATCACATCCTTTCCCGCAAATTTCGGATATTATATAGATCTATAATTATATAGATTGTTCGTATACAATATGGTTCAATCGGTCCAAAAAATGTCCGCAGTAAATATTTATATAAAGAAATGCTACAGTTCCAAACAGTTTTTCGCAAGAGATATGCCTATGAAGGGTGCTGCTCTTAAACTTAATGTGTTGTGTTCACTCGTGTGCTGTCTAGATCTAGATCTACGGAGGGTTATTGATAACGACACATAGAACTAGCATCTGCGTTTGTCGCAGCCGCGACCAATCAATCGTGGCTCGATTTTTTGGATTTTTTTGGTCCCCGAATCGGGGAAAAAAAGTCAAATAAAAAAATAAAAATAAAAAAGAAAGAAACCGAACCTCTTTACTTTTGAAAGAAAGTTCACCAAGCTCCACTTTGTCTCTTTCTCACTTGTTGTCACCACATTTATTTGTTGAATACGTTACAGTTACTTTTATTTTTTCCTCTTTGTGGTGTTTTATTTTGTTAGTGTGTATTTTTTTCTCTCTTGTTATTGTTCTGATGTGTTGTTTTTCTATCAATTTTTTTTTTGTAGGGGAAAAAAAGGGGGGGCCGGGGGGATGTTGTATAGTGTAACATCATCTAATTTGATGGTCCTACCTTCATTAGATTCTAAATATATACATATATAAAGAGATTTAAATGTGTTATGTTAGAGCGTACGTTCCACCAAAATCGATTACATGTACTGACACTGGCAGGCCCCTTAATGTGTGTGATTCCATAATTTACATGTAATATCCTGTACTTTGTTTTAAAATTACGCACATTAAGTAGTTTATACAGCCAATCTTCTTCGGACAGGTGGACTCACGCCCTTATTTGTTAATTTTTGTGGTTGTTTATGGGCTGTTCTAATTTTGATTTCATTCGGTTGTGAAACTTTTCTTTTTCACGTTTTTACATTCATCTAAAAATCTCTAGACTAGCTCTTGAAAATAGAAATAGACATAGATCTAGACCTAAAAATTTGCTCCTGTGTGTGTGTGTGTGTGTGTATGCATGTGTGAGTGTGTCTGTGTGTGGTAGTAAGTGTATAAGTGGAGAGTGAGGAGCGCGTGTGTGTTTGTTTTTCGGGCTTTATTTCAGCCTTTATTCAGTAACAGTTCAAAGTATACAAAAATAGAAACACATGATCCATTCACTCCAGGGCTCATGAGTTGTTCCTCTCTTTCAGTTTCACTCATTCATTTAATTCCGTGTTCTCTCTCGCGGCTCATCTCCGTCTGCATGACTTCCACACCCCACCCCTCCCTCCAGGCACACACAAAGAAAATCTCACTCATTCCCTTGCCACCCTGCGAACCATGGACAATAATATTAGCAAAACACTGCCTTAGCCGCATTCCTTTTGTTCGTGAGCTGTGAACCAGGCCAGGGGGGTCGGTGTCGTCCCCTTGTAGTTGCTGTCGCCTGTGGATACACTCGTACATTCTTCCTTTCACCTGCTCTGTCACTCACACAGTCTCTCCATCCACAGCTCAGCTCGTCATACGTTCAAAAGTTGTCCACTGATCATGTTTAGTTAGTGTGTGTATAAGTTTGTGTGTGTACATGTGCATGATGGTGGTGGGTGTGTGGTGGGTGTTACAGAAGGTTGTCTGTAGGCGGGCTTGCCATGCGGTGTTCCTTCCCAGTTCCCAGACCAGAGGCAGAATGAAAGTTGGCGCCGAACTCTTGCAATAAATAGGCAAAAAATCAGGAGACCGGAAGCCGGAAACCGTTCGGAGAAATAGTCACTTTTTTTTTTTTTTACTTTAGACATTAGGAAACACAGTATTATTTTTAACCTGTCACAGGGGTGAGAATATAGAATCTAGGTGGCCCATTTCAAAAGGAAGGGAAAGGGAGAAAGGATCTTTCTTCTTCTCTGATATATGACCAAGAGCTCTAGATTTATAGTTCTGCTCTTGTTTCAATTCATATGACATGATGTAATTTTTTAAAAACCTGTGTGACATTGGCAGTTTAGTTTTTAGATAATCACGAGGTTGCTGGTTCGGGGGTTTTAGGCTCAGGCCCGATGTTATGTCCTTTACATAAAATTTCCCTAGCTTCGCCCAGGTATGAATGGGTAGGCTACCTGGCCTTAGATCTTCACTGTCAGTATGTTAGTGTTTTAGCATAGATAAAATTGCACTGTATAATATGTATGCTTCTCGGGAAGTTGAGATTGTTTCAGAATGCTCTCAGGTCTGTTGGGGTGGTAAATTAAGTTTCTAAAGCACACAAGAGCTTGCTGTTTCACTTGAGAGGATTATGCAAAATGATTTTTGTTATTTTTATTTTCTATATTATTATTATTATCGTTATTATTATTATGTGAAATCTCATTTCGAACCATTCTTTTATGAAGATAAAAAATGACAGCCTTTGTTTAAGAAAAGTCCATGCTTTTGTTTGGTATTCTTTACTTTTTCTTTTAATTGACCAGTTTTTTCTTACGTCTTGTTTCTTGTGTTTAGATTTTCAAGCACACAAAATGGGCATCAGAGCTAATGCTGTATGGGCTGTATTAGGCCTGCCGTTTAGCCTTCTGTCTGTCTTCTACTACATCTATGTGTACTGCTGTAAAGAGAAACTCATGTTGAAAGACAAAGTGGTCTTCATCACTGGAGCTTCCTCTGGCCTTGGTGCAGGTAAAATACATACATTATGTTATTTTATGCTACAATTGCAAGTCCATAACCTCCTTCAGAACCATTTAATATGATTTAAGTGTGTGTGTTTGTGTGCCTGTGCATATATTTAAGTGTCAGGATTAGTGTAATAACATGTTGTTTGAACAATGATTTGTGTCACGACATGGTGAAATCAGGTTCTTGTCAATTCTGGGGCATATATATTATTGATTATAATCTTTTAAGCTTGTTCATTAATTCTCGGCTCGTGGTAGTGAAAGAGTTAAAAATATTTTAAAAACTACTGATCTGTCCTCAGAGAAAGTTGCATTTGAAAATAGCAAAAGTTACAAGATGTGTATAGCTAAAACAATGCCACGGAACTATTGGAATACATTGTTGCTATGCTCATTGCAATCAAAAGTGACCAATATGAGTTTTGTTCGATCAAATCAGAGGTTAAATGTGAAGGTCTACCAAAAAAAAAAAAAATTGCATGGAGGTTGCATGGTGTGTACTTTTGCTCTTTTTTTTACACTTTCCTACAATCCCGTAATATTACGTTATTCGCTTTTATAATAATATGACATTTATATTGCGCAAATCCGTTCTACAATCACTCCTCTATGCGTTTTACTTTTAAATTATTAATTATAGTATTCATGAAAAACATGCATACACACATGTGACACAATAATTAAATAAGGTACAAGCGGAACTTGTCCAGAAAAACTTACGGTGTCATTTTACCACTTTAACCGCACCGGTGTAATCAAAATTAGACTAGATTTACATGTCATGTAGCCCAGATATCAACCAGTGTATAAAGTGCGAGATGACATATTATATATATCGTGCTTGCCGCTCGAGGTCCACTGTATCGCCAAAATGCAGTGCTTACCGCTCAAACTTATTCTAAGTGAATGGTGTAGTTACTCTCTTCTTATGTTATTAAAAAAAAAAAATTACGTTGTCATAAATTATATTTTCCTTGATTATTTTTTTCACCTTACAAAAGTGTAATCTTATATTGGTTCAACCCCCCCCCCCCCCTTCTTTTCTTACACTTTACTTTTACAGGAGTCTAAGACTCCCCCCCCACCCCCTTTTTAAAAAAAATCCAGGTGTAAGACATTATTTGAACGTCCCCTTTAGGACTTTAGGGGGTTTTCTGGATGAATCGATCCATGTCTTGATCTACCCTCCTAGCCTAAAATTTAAAGTCTTTCACAAATTTTTATACTAGATCTAGATCTATCTACCTAGTGCTTCGGTACCAAGCAAGCTAAGTAATCAGACGACCGTGTTTACGATTGATATTTACTCTAGATCTAGATCTAGCTAGACTAGAAGATGATTCAGTCCAAACAAGACTATTGGGTGGGTTTGCTCGCCAGATTGATTGTGCAAAGCGGCTATTGTGGCACAAGTCTATCGCGTCCGACTCGTTGTTTCAAAACAAACACGATGTTTTCAGGCGACGAGTTGGGTGATCATCCCGACCCGACCTCACCCGGCCTAGGTCACTGGGCGGTGGCGGGCACCCAGAAGTCCAAAGGAGCGAATTGTCCCCCTTGGCGTCGTTATTTTTAGTCGTGGAAGAAAATTTCTATGATTTTAATGAAATTTTATTATTACTTTCCCAAATTTTGCGGGAAATTGGCTAAAATTCGTGAATTCACGAAAATGGTAAAAGTTGCACAAAAGTTGTGCTGAGGGCAAAAGTTGCGCGCGTAACTTACGGGTTGCGGGCGCGAATTTCTCTGAGGACAGGTTGTTAGGAGTGCCTGAAATGAAGGTTTGTGGAAGATAAAGATTAGAAACAAAGTTATATTATATATATATATATATACAGTCATACCCCATTATGCTGCCTACCTCCGATGGCTAAGTTCCTTTTACAGTTTCTCCAGGCGACTTAAAAATAGACGTGTTTTTTACTTTTTCCAGCTTGTGCAGAAGCATTTTACACTGCAGGGTGCAGGCTGGTCTTATCTGGTCGCAATGTGGAGAAGCTTAATTTGCTGAAAGTTCGAATGGAAAAATCAAAAGAGGTACTTTAGTTGTCTCTGTTGTTTTTTATGCGGTGTTTGACCAGTTGTGCCAGAATAGCTGCTTACTATATAATTGGGTTAAAGCTGGGGCGACCATCCCCGACCCACCGTGTCCACAGGTGGCGGATAGTGGAACGGCCTACATTATGTAGGGTAGCTGCGAATAACCAATAAGCAGTCGCGGACCAACTGGCGACAGTCTTGGAGAGCGAGGTGGGACAGGGTGGTGGCAACCCTGTCTCTATAAAATACCTTATGTGCTCAGTAAAGAGACTGTCAGGCGAGAGGGAGGCGCCGAAACATGCCACCTGCCCCCACTGCCTTGTGGGTTAGTCCTTTTGGACAAAGGCTAGCGGAGTAAACCGTACAAAAATCCAGCAGAAGGCAAGGGGAAACCACTGCTGTATTCTTTCCCTAGAACATTATGGATCATATCACTTCAATAAATAAAGATAAAGACGTAAAGGGGAGTTCTGAAAGAACTGCCTCGTCCGGTAGGGTCAGTCATGCACAGCAGGTGACACCAGATCGTCATCAAGATACTGCTCACAAAAAGAAAAATCAAACAAGAAACATAGCAACCTGGAATGTGAGAACATTGCTAGAGAAAGGAAAACTGGACAACATCAAGAAAGAAATGAAGAGAATGAATGTTAACATCATGGGTTTATGTGAAGTACGATGGACAGGAGCTGGCAGAATATTGACCGACAACTATAACATCATTTACTCAGGAGGCGACAGACATGAAAGAGGAGTAGCGGTCATCATGGACATGCCAACATCGAAAATATCAGACAGAGTTATGCTGGTGAGACTGAAAGGATCACCATTCGATACAACCATCATCCAAGCATATGCGCCAACCTCAGAAAGCACAGAAGATGAAATAGAGAAATTTTATGATGAAATAAACCAAGCAAAGACACATTGTAAATCACAAGATATTGTCATAGTCATGGGTGATTTTAATGCAAAAGTGGGAGCAATAAGACATGAAGACATAGTGGGTCCATATGGACTGGGAAACAAATGAAAGAGGAGAAAAACTGTTAGAATGGGCCATCCTGAATGACATGATTATTGGAAACACTTGGTATGAACAACCACCAAGAAGATTATGGACCTGGAAGAGTCCTGGAGACAGCGCTCGCAACCAGATCGACTATATCATGATCAAGAAAAGATACAAAAACGGGATGCTCAATGTCAAAACGCGGCCAGGTGCAGACTGTTACAGTGACCATGTACCCGTAGTGGGAAAATTTAGAATCAGATTGAAAAAAACCACACATGAGTAAGAAAAAGAATATGAAACTAAACATGGCCATACTACAATCAAACAAAGAAATGCAAGATAAATTCAGAATAACTGTACAAAACAAATTCGCTCCCTTAGAAGAAATACAAGACATAGAAAAACAATGGGAACAGCTTAAAACATCTATAAATGAGGCTGCAAAAGAAGTCATACCAGAAAAGACAACAAAAGCAAAGAAGAAATGGATGACTGAAGAAATTCTTAATCTTATGGAGGAACGAAGAATAAACAAAAACAATTTGGAAAAATATATGAATCTTCATAAAGAAATCAGACACAAATGTAATCTAGCAAAAGAGACCTGGTTAAAAGAAGAATGTGAAGAAATGGAAAATCATTCCAATGCGAACTTAAAAGATCTACACAGAAAAATTAAAGAGGTGTGCCATACAAGAACACGTGGATCAACAGGATGCCTCAAATCAAAGGATGGGAATATCATAATGGACAGAGACAAGATACTAGAACGTTGGACAGAATATATCGGTGACCTGTACAATGACAAAAGAGATGAACAAAGAAGAGTGGAAAATAACAACGAGGGACCACCAATCATGAAAGAAGAAGTTGTCAAGGCACTACGAAAGATGAAGAATGGGAAAGCGGCAGGACCGGACAACATCACCACAGAGATGATTAAAGCTTTAGAAGACTTTGGAATCACCACACTGACAAAACTTCTTAACAACATATATGCCACTGGACATATTCCATCAGACTTGTCAAAATCTATCTTCATAGCTTTACCAAAGAAACCCAATGCAAACAAATGTGAAACACATCGAACCATCAGCCTCATGAGCCACATAACAAAAATATTACTCAGAATAATTATGATGAGAATAAGAAATAAAATTCTCCCAGAAATAGCCCAAGAACAATGTGGATTTATTGAAGGAAAAGGCACTGTAAATGCCATATATGTCATCAGAACAACAATAGAACGTGCCCTAGAAGTTCAGAAAGATCTTCATTTATGTTTTATAGACTACACCAAGGCATTCAACAAAATCAGGCACGACAAGATCATCGACATGCTGGAAGTTCTTAATATCGACGGGAAGGACTTACGGATTATCAAAAACATGTACTGGGATCAAACAGCTGCAATGAGAATAGAAAACGACATCAGCGAATACATACAGATTAAAAGAGGAGTCAGACAAGGATGTGTACTTTCTCCAGACTTGTTCTCCCTGTATAGTGAAAATATCATGAGACACATAGAAGAAATGCCTGGTATTTCGATAGGGGGACATAATATAAACAATCTAAGATATGCAGATGACACAGTCCTAATAGCAGAATATGAAAAACACCTGCAGAATCTATTAAATGTCATCGTACAAGAGAGTGACAACATGGGCTTAAACCTAAACATCAAGAAAACCGAAACGATGGTGATAAGCAGAAATACTCCAATCCCAACATGCAATATCAAAATCAATGATACCACCCTCAAGCAAGTACAACATTTTAGATATTTGGGGACCATTATATCATCAGATGGTAGATGTCACACCGAAATTAAAAGCCGCATTTGCCAAGCAAAAGCAACCTTCCACAAGATGAAACAGATACTAACAAACATCAATCTGTCACTGGAAAAGAGGAAAAGAGTAATGAAAAGCTACATCGAGCCAATCCTATTATACGGGTGCGAAGCATGGACAATCAATAAACAGCTGGAAAAAACAATTGTTGCGGCAGAGTTTTGGTTCATGAGACGCATGCTACGTATCCCCTGGACAGCTAGAAAAACAAATGAAGAAGTCCTGGTTGAAGCAAATTATAGAAAACAACTTATCACGAATATAAGAAAACGACAGGCAAATTTTTTCGGACACACAATGCGGAAAGAAGCATTAGAGAACATTGTAACAACAGGAAAGTTTGATGGAAAGAGAGGTAGAGGCAGACAGAGGGAAAAGATACTGGACAAGATGACAACATGGCTGGGAGCAGCAAGAACAACAGACACCATTGCTGCTTCGAAAGACAGATGGAAGTGGAGGTCCATGATCGCCCACGCCAGTCGGCAAGGCACCGGATGATGATGATATAAGTGTCACAAAGCAGTGGAATCAGGAGCTTGTCAATTTTTGCATGTGGAGTTATAAATATCATCTGAGAGCTTATTCGTTGTTTTTATCTTGTAGTCACTTAGCTTTCACCCTTCTTGTCTTGTAATGGAGCGTTCGTGTCTGATTCAGCTGTTCCCCTGTTTTGTAGAAAAGACAGACACACCTACACACACACACACACACACACACACACACGCAAACGCACACACACACACACAAACGCACATACACACTCCCACATAAACGCACACACTCACACACACAACATGCATAGATTTAGACCCATAGAGACTGACATACATTTTCTTTTCTGTGGTTCAAAATGTACAGTTTTGCACACATAAGGAATGTAATCTTTTCTCGATATAAAGTGTAAGATACAAACCAACCGAGACGTTAAAAGTGAATCCATGAATTTAACATGAGGCCTTAGACTTTTTTTCTCTTTTGATTGCAGGGTACTGGTTTCCACAGTCCAGCCATTGTCACTATGGATTTGGAGGATCTTCCAAGCATTAAAGAGAAAGTCAAGGAGGTTCTGGCAGCTTTTGGTCATGTGGACATCCTCATCAATAATGCAGGAAAAAGCTATAGAGGAGTGGCTCTTCACACCAAGCTGGAAGTGGATAAAATGCTGATGGATGTGAACTACTTTGCTCATGTAGAGGTCACGAGAGGTGAAGTTCTTACCTTTTTGTGAGATATATAGCATGAAATATTTGTAGTATAACTTTCACTGAAGCATTTTGGTCAAATCTCATCATGCAATTTTGCTTCTCCTTTTTTGGTACAAGGGTGTGATATTCTGCATTAAAGCTCTCTTGAAAGAGCTACAATTACTTAGTTGAAATCATATACATCTTTCTTTTTAATTTCTGGTAATGCTTCAGTTTTGTTTCTCAAAAAGCTGAACTAAAAAGTCCATTTGTAACAGCCTCTGTTATTACAGGAACTTGGATATATATAACGATGATAAATCAAATCCCCGTTTTTTTTCCTCGAAAAGTGTAAATAATATTAATCTGGCTATAACAGGGTTCAATTTGCCCAGACTCGATTCTATAACAGTGATCTTGCTGCTCATGTACTTGCTTTCGATCCTTCAAATTATTAAAATTTGTCTCAACCAAGACATTTCGCCTGTTTGTATGGTAGCTTGCCTAAACACAAACTTCGGGTCACTGATCGATTCCGTCTCAGTGTCAGCAAAACAGATCACTGGAAAAGGATCTGCAGTAATTGAATATATACATATAGTAGGCATAAGCCGAAGGTGCTATGGGAACTGGTTGTTTCCCTCGATAACGGTTATAACAGGACTTGCTTATAACAGGGAAAAACTGCTGCTCCCATTTGTCCAGTTATATCTGAGTTTGACTGTACTTACGCCACAAGAGAAGCTATACGGGCCGACAGATGAACTGAGCAGGACGACCCAATTTATGACAGATACCAGACTTCAAGTGTGATTTGATCTAGAAGAAGAAGAAGATTCAGATTTTTTAAACTTTTAGTCTAACTCAAAAGTGAGATATAAGTTTTACCTGTCACATGATGCCTATCTAGTTAGGTTTAGCCTTTAGTTGTGAAATGATTGTTTCTTTCTTTTTATTGCAGCCATTTTGCCTCAGATGGTGGAAAGAAAGACTGGCCAAATTGTAGCTATTGGCAGTGTGCAGAGCAGAATTGCAATCCCACATAGGACTTCTTGTAAGTGCCTGCCATTCATTTAAATTGTATTGTAAGTGACTTCTACTTTACTCAACTACGAATGAGTTGATGTTGTTGGGGGAGTGAAAAAATGATCCACTTATCGGAAGTTCAACTTCACCGTTGGGACCTGTAAAGAAGAAGAGGTGGTGGGTTCTGAGAAAAAGGTCAGCTAAACCTTATGACGTACCTAGTGCGTCGTGAAAATGTGTAATTTTTAGCTTTATCCTGTACCATGGATGTCCAGGAAGTTGGCAAAAATTTGCCAATCCCGGTTGCGTATAAGATGTTACGTGTATGCCACGCTAATCAACTAGCTACTCTTCTGCTCAGAAATTTAGCTTTAAAATAATACCATAACACCGTATGTCCAAAAATTAAGGAGCTCCTGATTCTACCGTGTTATGACACACATATAATGAGGCCAGTGCTGTCACACTGAAACACATTTATTTAAATCTCATTTTACTTACTTTACTAGTTTCATTCTTCTTCCAACAGCAAATGTGATCAGTAGCCACAGAGATTGTCTTTTTGTGTCTGTTCATCGATAGATTATTAGTGTATATTATATATTTGAAAGAATTGTTGCCGATTGAATGGACCCGTACGCATGAAATGTTGACTTAGATCTTATTTTATTGTGAAGCACCTAGAGCCACTTGGGAGTGGGCGATATAGAAATTATTATTATTATTATTATTATTATTATTATTATTATTATTATTATTATTATTATTATTATTATTACTTTTATCATTAAAAAGTCTAAGACCTTTTTGACTTAGCTGAGCCCCTGAAAACAGCTTTTTATTTACCAGCTTAAAAAACATGTAAGTCTTTTCAAAGTTATGCCGCCTTACTTGCCAAATGAAAGGTCACACACAGGTCTGTGTACATCTCAAACAAATTGCTTGAAAAGCCCCAAAAAAAAAGACCCACCCAAAAATTCAAGCCCGCCACCATTGTTAAAGTTAAAAACAGTTAGGCTGTAAAGTCTCTGTAGTGTGGTTTCGTTGTGAGTGGCGGTTATGTCAATAATATATATAGACTCTCACGCGAAAAAATAAGTATTTCAACACTGTTCATTTTCTTAGTTCTACCCTTCCTTTGGTTGCTGCTGATGCTCATTTGACTGAGGCTTATTTGACCAATAAAGCTCTGAAATCTACTGAACGTAAGTCACATAGTCAAAGATTGACAACTCAAAATGAAATTGGACAAGGATTGTGAAGAAACTGAGTTTGTTCCCTTCCTCCCTAGTCTAGTGCAAAGGAAGGTAAAAACCTGAGAGAGCCCATTACAAACGTGATGGCTATGTCCTGGCTCCACTTTAAGTGCGTCCATCACAATAATGATTGTGGAAGTTTAGCTATTGAGCTAACCTCAAAATTTTTGTCACAGAGTGTCTTCATAAACAAAGCAAAAAAAAACAAAGTTATAAAGTAGACAAATCTTCCAAAATGAATCAGAAAAAAAGGTAAAGGAAAACTCTTGTGGTCTGTGGATTTTTACGTGTAAAATAGCTATAGTCCAAGTAGGTTTGTCATCATATTTATAGAAATTGCTTTGGTGGTTGTCACTACCTCCTCTTTGTAATTAGCTGTATCTGACCAGGACTTCCATTACGTGATCGACGTCCTTTGTAGCCGTAAGAAAAATGAATGACTCAACCTTGTGGAGCTAGTGAAAAAGTTAAATATTTTATTTCCATGGCCCTGATATATGATGGTTCAACGACTGACTGTTATTGTGTATTTTGTCAGGTGCAGTGGAAATTAAATATTCACTAAATAATTTTATCCATTTTTTTTCGTTATTTACAGATGCAGCTTCCAAACATGCCATGCAGGCATACTTTGATGTTTTGCGGTCTGAAGTGGCCCAATATAATATTGGTGTCTCTGTTGTCAACCCTTACTACATTGCTACAAACCTGTCTACCAACGCAGTCAGTGCTGATGGATCAGCTTATGGAAGTGAGTCATTTTTTCTTGTTTTGGAACTTACCTTGGATATTGCGATGTTTATCCTTTCACTGTATAAAGTCAGAAAAATGTTGGCTTACTTTAGAGTAAGAAAGAGGCCTCCCAGTCTGTGCTCTGAAGAAGCTATTATGGCCTTTTTCAGTTTGGCGAGAGATAGTTTTAATGTTTCATTAAAGTTTTTGGATAATTTATTTTTTACACTCATTTGTGAGAATAATCATGAATACATTTTATTAATATTAGCTGATAGTGAGAATAAAAGACAGTTACTTATGAGTGTTGAAGTTGAAGAGTACAGAATTATGAAGGAATAAAATTGCTGTCCCAGGGAAGGTTCTTGAAACATGGTTTATGCGGGAAAATTTGTCACTAGTTTTTAAGTTGTAATGTAGTTTACCTGTATGTCTAGGCTGTTCAATGAGAATTCTTCAGAATTAATTGTTTTGTAATGTATGTGTATGCGTATGTTTTTCCTGTAGAACTGGATGCAAATACAAAAGCTGGACTACAGCCGGAGTACGTTGCCTCCAAGGTCGTGAGCTGTGTGGTGAACAGGACCAGTGAGCTGACCGTAGCGCCTCCGCACATCGACCTGGCTATTGCGCTGAGGGCCATGAGCCCGTGGCTCTTTTTCAAGATCATGGAAAGACGAGCTAAAAAAGAGCAAAGGGAAATGAACAAGGACAGATAATTGTAGATAAGTCAAAGGTAGAGAATGTGACGAACAACTATCCCACACACTCCCTCAACATTGGCACAAATTTCCTTTAGCGAAAAATCAGTGAAAGTTGTGTCAGCATGGAAATATTAATACTGGAAGTATTTTGTGTTATGAAACTGACATATTGTGAGTTTTTTTACCTGCTCAAAAAAAAATTAAAGCTATTGTGGAGTGACTGTGACACATGTCGTATTGTTTAGTAGTAGTACTCAGAGTACCTTGATGCTCACATGCTGTATTCTATATAACACATTATATTGATCTTTGTTCCGTTGAAACACAACTTTTAATGATTTTTGTATTTTCTCATTTTCTCAATTACGGTATTTGCTTTTTTTGTTTTACTTTGATAAATGAACACCTCCAGCTTGAGATCTTGACACCTTAACTAAATGAAAATGTTGTCTTTATATTGGTGAATTTAAAATGTGACCAAGATTTGCAAAATGTCTAACGACATACCGGTACTAGATTCTAAAGGTTTTTTTTCTCTGAAACTTGAAAGTGTTGATTAGCTTTAGTCTTGAGTTTGACCTAGCTTGACCTTATATTGGTTCTAGGGTCATTTTTGTTAAAAAGAAGTAACATGATCCTAATTCAAGTACTGTACTGGTATTCTTGAAAAATGTTTTTGAAGCTGGCTTTGACAGATGGCAGAGTGCTTTTGTGACATTTCCTAAACTTTCATGTCCATTTTCTGAAAACCGTGCTTTTGCTCATTTTCATTTACATAAGTCTAATTTTATAATTTTCTAGCCACCTTGCGCCATATTTTCACCATTTGTCAAGGGACTGTGTGCGTTAAGAAAATGGGAAGAACTCAAGTTTATGAAATACAGTGGAATCAGCTTAAACTGAAATCTGCCGGACTCGGATTTTCTCGGTTTATCCCATTTTGATTTGTCAAATAGTGATGATAGAATAGTCGACAGTGTAGTGCTGGGAATGCCAAGCTAGTGGCAAATTTCACTTTTTGAGAGGTTTTTTCACATCTACCTCCCTTTGTAACTGCAATTTGAGCTGCAGACTGAACACATTTAACTTTCTTTTCGCAATGGTCAGCTCACTGAATCTGACAGTCACACAGAACAAATGACAGAGTAGACTGAAAAGTGAGAAAGAAAACCAAAAGGCAATGATGTCATGAAACATACCAAGTGGCTTTATGTGCTCATTTGCAGGGCTTATGTGAACTAGCTTTGCAGAGATAACATGCCATGATAAACCAAAGGTGGTGTGACAGATGTACATTCGCTGTCCTTGCATTAGAAGGCCTAAGCACACTATGTAGACCTATTGATGTTTGAAAACGATGGTAAACAGTATATATATATGCTGGCGATGTTTCTCTGGCCCGCAATTGACACATGTGCGCTCTTGTGTCTATTTCTTCTGTTTTGCTATTTTGTTGTCTTAAAGTACGTAAGGCTTGATGATTTGTGTGACTTGAGGGCTGTTAGTTAAGATTTAGACAACGAAATTCTTCTCCGTTTATAAATAGCATTTTGGTTTATCTTTTCTTACAGACATAAAGAACAAGAAAAATCGGGGTTTTATTTTTCTTTCAGTTTACTGCAATGTTCAGATTAGACCTAGATCTACCTTTTTAATTTAAGTGGACTCCACTGTAGTTTCATGATATTAAATTAAACTTTATGACATAATGGGTCGTACATTTTGACGCCATGAGTTTCAGCTTTCCTTGGCAGATTGAAAAATTACGCAAATGTGGCCAGTGAAAAAACAGTGTTTAGGAGGAAGTGTTCTACAGTGCCTTTGATGAGGTGACAAAGGGTTCTGAGGTGACCCACAAAAATGTTACAGGAAAGAATGGGAGAATGTGAAGAATGACAGAAAGGAGTGAGTGAATTTTGCTTGACCAGACTTGGTGCTTTACATTTGTACTGAGTGTCAAGAGCTAGAAGAATTTTGCTCTTACTATATATATAAAAAGCCAATTATTGTTTGAATGTGATTGGACTTCGAAACTCAAACTGTATATTTTGTATGGCTATGAAAATCTGTTTTTTAGAATGCATTTTAACACTGTCATGCTACATGTCCACATCAGGAGAACCTAAATGAGTGGGAGTGATAAATTTAGAATTTGAAAGCAAAAGGCATTGTTGATGAATTATGTCATGTAGGCCCCTTTGAAATGAAACTACTATACACTGTAATAGCTTTTCATGAATATGGCACCATCAAAGAAAAAGATCTCACTATTGTTGAGAGTACTGTAACCCTCTTCTTTAAAAAAACAAACAAACCCAACAACTGGGTATCATTTTAGCCTTATACTAAATAAATGTCTTTCTTGTGTCCCTCAATCATATGGAAAAGGGAAAAGATAGTCACTGAGGTTTTTGTGATTCAGTTATTTTGTTATATTGCCTTGAACAAAGTCTAGTGGGCTTGAACAAAGTCTAGTAGGCTTGAACAAAGTCTAGTGGGCTTGAACAAAGTCTAGTAGGCTTGAACAAAGTCTAGTGGGCTTGAACAAAGTCTAGTGGGCTTGAACAAAGTCTAGTGGGCTTGAACAAAGTCTAGTGGGCTTGAACAAAGTCTAGTGGGCTTGAACAAAGTCTAGTGGGCTTGAACAAAGTCTAGTGGGCTTGAACAAAGTCTAGTGGGCTTGAACAAAGTCTAGTGGGCTTGAACAAAGTCTAGTGGGCTTGAACAAAGTCTAGTGGGCTTGAACAAAGTCTAGTGGGCTTGAACAAAGTCTAGTGGGCTTGAACAAAGTCTAGTAGGCTTGAACAAAGTCTAGTAGGCTTGAACAAAGTCTAGTAGGCTTGAACAAAGTCTAGTAGGCTTGAACAAAGTCTAGTAGGCTGTATACTATGTGTTGTGGCTGAAGTTATTATTTTTTCATTCATTTTTGTCTTTGCATGCAAACAACAAGTTTTTCCATACTACTAGCATTACTAACTTGAATAAAATGCTTATTATGTTGTTTTATGCATACATTGTTGACACCTTCCTCTCACTGTCTCAGATGCATACTTTAAATATAAATACTTTATAGAGGTTCAGACAGAAAGGCATTCTGTCAGTTTTTACTGCTCCGACTCAGACGTATGTGTTTCTGTAGAAAAGAAATGTACACGGGAAAACTCAAAATCACAGATAGATTGCATATATTTTACTACAGTATAGTCCACTTATATCGACAGCTGATGTATCGACATATGTTCCAATAACTAATTTTTTCCTTCAATATCTTCACTAAACAATTTCTCTATATATAGACTTTTTTTCGGCCCACTCTGCTTTATCGACATGCTTCCTGGGTACCTGGTGGAGCCCACGAACATAAATGGGAGAAAAAGCCACACTAAGGCCAGTAACAGTCAATGCATTATTTCTTCATTAAGTTTAAGTCTGCATATCCGCCAAGTAGCCTATTGACACACCAGGTTTTTTTAGTAAGTCATGTAGGGCCTACACAGAGTAGTCTCCAACTCAGTGCAGTGCCTCACAGACGTGAGCTTTTCACTCGCTGGGCATCACATCCCTATCCCCACTCCCGATTGCTCACTCTTCCCCATCCCATTATCAGTCTGACGCTGGCAAGTGCCATGGTCCGTGAGTCTGTGCCTCGCATTTCCATTTTCCCCAGCAAGCGACCCTAAACAGGCCTAACAAGGATGCTACAACAAAGTTTACGCTGGTGTGTAGTGTGGCCTCGTGTTGCTCCAACCCCCCCTTATCTATGCCTCTTGTTAGTTTGTTAACTGTATATTGTGTAAGAATCAATGGAAGCAACCAGTTTTAAAAAGTAGTGTGTTTTTTCCTCTTTGGCTTTATACTTTCATTTATCAACATTTTTATTTGTATCAACATCGAATCCACTTCCCAAAGCATGTCGATATAAGCAGATTATCCCTACCTGATGTCTCTTTAATGTTTCACTAGACCTATCGGTTAATCTGGAAAATGGATGTGTCCAACGCATTTCTCAATTCCTGATGTGTTTGAGGTACACTGCCTGACTGTATTCTTAGTTGTGGGTAATTCCACACAAAATCATCCCGTTGAACAAATTTCAAAGTATGAACTTTGTGGTTGAAGTGTTAGATTTTCTTGATATAAATAAATTAATAGTTAATGAGTTTCCATGATGCTTGGTTCTTGCTGTTATTGTTTATTATTATTATAAATTATAGATTAAATGCCTTTTATTAACTTAAGCGCAATGAAAGTTTCAAAAGTACTGTTTTTTGGTTACATCTTTAAAGTGAAATTAATATTATATTGTGCAAGGCTTATCATTTGTGTAGCTATTATGGAAAAGACAACAATTTTTAAAATTCTGATGATGATTAATGCATGAGGGAATACTGGTATGGTACATTCATCGGGAATTAATTACTTCTATCGTCGGATGAGAGACAGGTGGTAACCAGTACTGGGTATACATTTGCATTTTGGCAAAAATGCTAAAAATAAAAAGGAAGCATTCGAAATGACATCAATCTACCCTGTGATATTGTCATAACTGCATTTCTGAATGTGCTTATGTTCAAGTTTTTTTCTGCATAAAAGTAATAATACACCTTGCCATAAAAATCCCATTTTTCACTCCGCTGGTGAATGGTAGGGGTAGTAGCAATATTGACGTTAATTATAAAGTAGGCTACAGCTGCAAGTTGGTGCCATAATATCATGTTGTAGAGGTTAATATTGTCCAACTGCCTTTCTGTGCCTCTGGATTCTACGTAAATAATATAGGCCTACAGTCGGGCACAGTTAACATGAACACGGAGACTCGAAATCACGGACAGTTTGTACAATTTGCCTTTCCCGACCGATATCTCTATGATTTTTTGTTATCTGTTTACTTGAATTATGGATCATGTATCATACAGTACGCGTTTGTCCATCGCCAACGTGTTTGAGTTATCCGTGCGTGACTGTAGTCAGGTCTGGTGTGGGTAGAAGATGAGGGAATCCCTAAGCTTGGTATGGTATTGGAGTTGGAGCTAAAAAAAAAAATTTGACCTAAAATGTCCCTCCAGTTCTCTCATAAACAAGTAAAATATACGTAGTAGTTTTTAATACTAATCTTCAAAAACTGTACTACTAGTGTACTGCACAAGAAGCACCTGATATTTGTTGTTTTTACCCTTTTCCTGCTAAAAGTAAAAGAAACCCTGAAAGTTTTGGCACTTTGTCTTTGTGAAACTTTGACAGTAATGACAGACAATGTCATGTTGAAATTCAGGGTGTAGGTCTAAACCTAATTCCCTCCTCTTTAATGTGAGATTAAGACACCCACTTTTCCAGAAAATATACTTTTTTAAAAAAGTTGACGCTATGTAAATCAGATTTTCACTTTACTTTATATATTTACATTAGTAGAGATAGATTCTATATATAGAATGCTTATAAATATGTGGTGTAAGATTCAATTTTAAAAAAACCTGTTATAAGTCTAGATAATGTTGAAAAAGTCCTGCAGTTTCCAAGAGAAAGAGTAAAAGGAGGATGTTGTTCCACACATTGCTATTCCTACTCACACTGGTTGGAGTCAGTGTAAGTGTAAGATCAATGTATCATACCGGGGTACTTATTGTACCGGTAGTTGGTTTGTCTTGCAAATTATAATTTTGCTATTTTGAAAACTTGTTTGTTTTTATTTCTGTGCACTTTGACACAGGGCCCATTGGCGTGATCGGTTCGGTTCGGGTCGGTTTGGTAGGCGGGGCTAGCCAGTTTAAGGGCGCAAAGCCACCATTGTTGCACAAACCGATTGCCCAACTCACGGCTAAAAAACAAACGCGTATGTCTTCAAGTCTGCCAGTCGGGTGATCAGCTTGTAAGAGAGAAACGATCGCCAATAGGCACTGGGTACTAAAGCTTCAACTATTACTATTATTACCCCAACAGACCTTTAAACTCTCAATAACCTAGCATCTGCATTTGCAGCAGCCCGCGAATAGCGACCACGATTTTTGGCATTTTTTGTTCTGCTAATCGCGGCCGCGATTTTTGCATTTTTCAAAAAAAAGAAAAACCCACGGGAAATAAACACCGACAAAAAGGAATTATCAAACCTCTTTTACTATTAGAAAGAAAGTTTATTTTCACTCTCGCTTCACTTCGTCTCTTTGTCACTTGTTGACACCACGTTGATTTGTTATTTTCATGTGAAGAATAAAAGTACATTACATACTATTTATATTGCTGTTTCTCTTTTATTTTTCCCTCTTTGTTGTGTTTTAATTTGTTGGTGTGTTCATTAAAAAAAAATTTTTGTGTTCATATAGATCTAGTGTAATGTAATGTAATTTGATATTGTTCCTAGTCTACTTTTAAAAAATATAATGTGTCTACACCAAAACCGAATACTGACACTGGCAGGCCCCTTGAGTGGGATTCCTATAATTTACATTTAATATTCTGTACTTTTACTTGAATTACACACCTTAAGTGTTAAAACAGCCAATCTTCGGATATGTGGACACACGCCCCGATTTGTTAATTTTTGTGGTTGTTTATGTGCTACTCTAATTTGTCTAATTTTGATTTCTTTCTGTTGTGAAACCTTTGTTTTTCACGTTTTAACACTCTGTGTGGCTGCAAATGATATTCTGGATGCTTAAAACAGAGCACAAGAAATTCTGGTGCTTTAGATTAATTTACCTCTATCAACGTATTGCTATACGTCGTCACAGAGAGTTGAAAGCTTGAAAATTAAAGGCAACTTTTGGCATTTTTGTGGCAACTTTAACAAAAAAATGGCAACAAACGCAGATGCTAGAGTAACATTCTCCTGGGAAGTATACAGTGTCAGCAACCACTTAAGCGCTCAAACAATAACAAACTGACAAGATCTTCCTGTCAACAGCTGGGTACCCATTCCCATCTGGGTGAAGTGAGGAAATGTCGTGTAATGTGTCTTTCCCAAGGACAAAACATTGGAACCCTGACAGGATTCGAACCTACGACCTTACACAGTTAAGAGTTTGAATACCGAAGTATAAATTAATACATGTGTCATAAACACTTAGATCTAGTACACAGAAGACTGTTCAACATTTGAACACAGCCAGTTTTAACATCCATTTTTTCATTTTCAGCACCATAAACTTTCTATAAATCCACTCAAATTTAACATTATCTGCAAAAAAATGAACACAAAGCTGAGAATTAATGAATGGGCCTTGCAATGAATAGGCCTATAATATAGTTTTATTATAGTGCTGGGACTTTGGTAGATTTTTGTTATGAAAACAAATGATGTATAGCCATGTAAGTCGCCAGTTGAAATGGCTCGTCATATATATTTTTATATATAGCCTACATACGAAGAAGAGTATCAGAGAACTTTTGCTCACTCTCCTGTCCTAAGCCATCGAATTAAAAAAAAGTAGCCTATGGTTTTAGGCTACTGAGAATACAACAGATTTTAACGTCCTTTCCCTGATACAGTGGAAACCATATAATTAACAGGCCCAGTAATAACAGGGATCTGGTAATAACGGATTTTTTAAATCCCCGTTTTTTCCGTCTCTGTGTCTCTATTAAAAGTTATCGGCAATAACAGGGCCTCATCAGAGCCCAATCAGTTATAAGTTATAGCAGGGACAAAGACTCGTTAACAATAACAATGTGTAAAAAGTAAGAGAGAGAGAGTAACGCAGTGGTGGAGCTAGCCCACTCACGATAGGCCACAGCAAGCACACACAGCAGGTGAAGCGAGAGAGGGCTGCGATCTAACCCTTAGCCTAGCTCAGTAAAGACACGCGTAATGTGTCATGCGCCGACCTGCCACATGGCCAAAACCCCTGTTCCTGAGAACTTATGGCAAAGGAAACTACCCATGAATAAATACAGCAGGATTAGCTAACAAATGCTTACTTCCCTTGCATTTTTAATTTACCAGGGATCTGATATAATAATAGGACTTTTTCTATGGTCCCACCATCCCTGTTATATGAGGTTTCCACTGTATATTATTATATATATATACCTTCATCTGCCAGCTTGCTATATATTATATGAGCTCAGTGAGCAGTGCCCTGTCTTGGTAAAAAAAAATCCCAGCATTTCATTACCATAGAGTATCAGCGACACTATCATCCGTAAAACTAAAATACAGTATGAGACAAATAAATGTAGTTGTACATGCACAAGAAACGTAAATCGTAGTAGGTGATGAGTTAGAGGTAACAGGTGATTTATTTAAAACATACAGTTACACGTACGTCATGACAGCATTGAGGGGGATAACAATAACAACAAAGTATACTGTTTGGTAAACTCACCCGTCTACTGTGCTGCAGATCTATAGCATTAGCATTTGATTAACATGAGATTTAATCTCAATCAACAGAGAGTAACAAGGGGGTCACATGGCCACAAACTGATCAGAATGTCAAGCTGGGGAACACAATCAAAAGAGAAAGACACTGCAAGTATTTTACAATGGACGCTTCCATACTAATGATAAAGGCTCAATAATATAACAAGAGAACTAAAACAAAATTACTAATCAAAATTTGTGTAACATATCCCTTGCCTTGACATCAACTTAATGCTAAATGGAACAATTCTTTCACATTGGAAAAGATAACAAAGCAAAGGTGAAATCATAGACAGGAAAAAAAAAAGAAGCTTTTTCAACAGCAAAATTTTTGCTTTAAAAACAGGTTCTACTAATAATGGTAATAGTACTAATGAAGACATGGGAAGGGATGTCTTTGCTCTGCACAAAACACAGCAGTAGCACATAGGAGGAAATGCAGGCTATGTCAATAACAAAGTCATAGGAAAGGAAGAAGGCCTGCAGGTCAATATTACAGTAGTCTCCGCCTAAAAGCACGCCATACAAAGGCATGCTCCACTCAAACGCACGCTTTCATCATGTATATATATGACGAGTTTTTTTACTCTATATAATTTAGATGTTCAAATGCATGGTCAATTCTTCTAAACGCATACTTCAATCTGCAAAACATGCCAACAGGCAAAGCTTGACAAGGGGAAATTTTCACTGCAACCTACACAGCTTGCGTAAGACAAGCCTAGACGCCTAGACAACCGGATACCTGTATTTGGCGAGACTGACCTTCACATCGAACAAAGAGAGCAATGGAAAGAGTTTTCACACCCAACTTTCCACAGACTCATAGGTCTAGGACTGGGCGGGTCGCTTGTGGCATCGGTGGCCTACTGGTTAGGCTCTCAATCTCGCAACCGTAAGGCCTTGGGTTCAAATCCCTTCAGGGGCCCGACGTTGTGTCCTTGGGAAAGGCACTTTGCACAAATTTTCCTCACTTCGCCCAGGTGGAAATGGGTACCCGGCTATAGACAGTGAACGATCTTGTCAGTTTGATAGTGTTTGAGTGCGTGAAATCCGCAGCTAGCACTGTATGCTTCCGCGAAAGCTGAGAATGTTTCTGAGTGTTCTCGGAGGGTCTGCTGGGGTAATAATACTTGTAAAGCGCATAGAGCATGCTCTTGAGAGTGGATATGCGCTATATAAATGCAATTATTATTATTATATGTTGGGGAGGGGAGGGGTGGGGGTGGGGCTTGAAATCTCATGATAGGTCACTCGAAATGCATCTTTGAGAGAAGGTTTCTGGCTGGTGTTTGAGTGACAGCATACGTAATGTTTACTTAGACCTACGATGCGCAACACCCGTGAATGTGGTAAAACACTAGATAGGCCTCTTATGAAAGATTAGTAAAGAAATCAACAGCGCTCCAAGAACTTATAATGTACCTATTCAACAAATCGCGAGAGAAAAGTCTGATGTCATCCATGCATTTACTGAGTTGCAATAGATGACAGGCAGTCGGCATTAGTCGCTTGGACTTGGAAAGCCGTGTGGCTGAAAGCTTTTCTCTACGACTAGATCTATCACGAACAGTTTCCTCTTATCTATTCCTGACATTTTATTTTGCATATCCAGTACAGTGAGTCCGTTTTTCTGCCCCCCCCAAAAGTTCAACACCTTTGTATTCCTAATTCATAACCGCATTCAGGGAATCCTTCACAAAACAGTCACGTGTCGTCACATTATTTGCCAAAAATGGCCCATCACCCCCAAGGGAGATCACTAAAATATCAAGGAAATGAGATCATTGTGTCTCTTCCTCACTTTGCACAGAGGTTCATGTAAACGCACGCTCCGAATAAACACATGCTACGGGGCCTTCCCGAGCACTGTGCGTTTAGGCGGAGACTACTGTACTAGCCTTTCTTGGCTTTCTGGTCCCATGTCTCAACGTTCGAAAATAATATAAAGCTCTTGACTCTTACCCGGAACTCTGATTTTTATATTTAGGTTATGGACAAGTTTTTTTGTTTTTTCACACACCAAATTATTATTAACAAATGTCACATATTCTGATCAATACCTAAATCTACAAGTTCTTTCCAATAAGGCCAAACCTTCCCCAACCATATCTTTAAAGCAGACAGAATGAATCTGCTACAAAAGATGTCAGCATGCTGCAAACATGTACTAATGTTTCACAAATACCACCGATATATCTTATAGAAACATAAGGAGCCAGCAGCAATGGCTATTATATTCTGCAACACTTTCCTCCTTGTGTCATCCTTGCGGACCAGGACCACTGGCGTTGTCGTTGTCAGGGTATGGAGAGGTAATTTGGGGACTTTCATGAGGTCGTACTCCACTTGGTATTTACAGCAGGGATCAAGCTGCCAGGACACTGCATACACACCGGCACACACCACACTCACAAAACCAAACGGGAGAAACACGACTCCTTTCTCTGGCCATACTGCCCCTGTGGCAACACAGCAGAAGCCAGAGAGGACGGCCGTTTTGTGCAGACAGTTCCCGCAGGCGATCCAGCGGGCCGTGTCCTCCCCTAGTCGAGCTGGCTCCACCACTATCGTCTGGGCCTTTTTCTCAAGCGCTCTGTCCAACTCGACCTCAAATTCCTCTGCCGAGTACTCATGTTCATAGATTTCACGGATTATAGCAATGTCTTGTGGCATCTGGAAGTCTGTGGAAGAGAAGAAGGTACATGTTTGATTTAAAAGCTGATACCATAGAGAAAAGGAAATATGTGAAGCATCATGGTGGAATAGAGCGCTCGTCAAAATAATGAAATCTAAGGAATCAACATTTTTCTGCCCATTTAGCAGTTTTTACTGATTTTTTGTTTTGGGTTCACTCTAAATTATAAAACACATTCATGCATGGATTTTACAGAAGAAAGGTTATTCAAAGGATCATTATATAAGTTTGTAGTTTCCAAGGACACTACAGCTTCGGAAGCTATCAAACTTTGGCAGCCATATTCTCTTTATTATCTCTGTCTAACCTGTAACAGCAAGCTACCCCAACCTCCTTCAATAGCAAACATATCTCAACTTTTATTCAAGATAGAGAGGTATTTTTCTCATTAAAAGGAAATAAATGAATATGCTGTAAGATTATACCAAAAAAACTCAATTGGTATAATCTTACAGCTTGTTAATTCGTTTGCTTTTGATGAAAAAAAAAATACCTCTCTGTCAATAGGCCCAAAAGTTGACAAGCGCCTGATTCCATCATGCAGTCACACAATACGATCATTTATCTGAAAAGACTATTGATTACGTCAAGTGCTCAGCTGCACTCAAAGAAATAAAAATGACATACTTGTTCAACTAATCACATTAGAGAAAAGTCTCTCCGAACGTCTGATGTCATCGATGCATTAACCGAGAACTGGGGATATCAATTTATCCTTAACAGTTTCCTTTTATCTGTTCTTGACATATTAGTAGAGCATGTCAGTACAGTGAGTTGGTCTTCTGCTTTTTTCCACCACTCATTCAACACCTTTTTGAAGTCATTATAACTGTGATTAGGGAATCCTTCACAAAGCAATCACGATTCTTGACATAAATAATCGATAAAAAACAACCTCCTCCCCAAGGGAGATAAAGGTATAAAATGAGATTGTTGCTTCCCTTTTTGTCCCTCTGTATTCATAAGGTTCACGTAAACACACTCTTTGGAGCCCTCCCGAGTACTGAGTATTAAGACAGGGACTACTGTACCCATCCAGTCCAGCAAGCGAGTTCTTACCTTATTTACCAATTTAGTGCCTATTGTTTGCTGCAGATCACATAAAGCCACCAAAACTGTTGCAAAACAATTATTTTCTAGAAAATTTCAAACCAAACTGTAAAATATCAAATTATGGGTAAAAAAAGGGGGGCATCCCCCTGTATAAACCACCTAGAGTGTTTTTAGCCCAGGGGGGCAGCCCCCCCCCCCAAGAAACCCTCTATTCTAGTGTAATATAAAATAGATCTAGATCTAGCTCAAGAAAAATCAAATATTTCGAAAGCTATAAATATTTGCGACGGAAATGAAGTTCTATTCGTGTTCAGTAAGAAGGAGAGAGGAATAAGTAAGAGAAAGAGAGAGAGAGAGAGAGAGAGAGAGAGAGAGAGAGAGAGAAAGAGAGAGAGAGAGAGAGAGAGAGAGAGGGTGGGGAGGGGGGCTGTCTTGTAAGGACTGATTATGAATTTTATGTTTTGATCCCTTTGTATTTGTAGTAGCGAAACGCAGTGTAATAGCCTACTAGATCTAGCAGATCTAGAATCTAGAACTACAGTCTAGTTGAAAGTCCGAATAGCAACAGGAGACTTTCAGACTCGAGTCTCGACCTCTAGATCTAGCAGGAGACAAAAAAAGGTACGGTAGGCCTACAACCGGTGATTGCGCACGCGCACTGGAATTTAGATAGATATTATTAACTCATCTCTCATCCTTCCTCAGATTGTCCATCATCCTTAGAATCTTAATAAAGAGCAAGTTCAATAACATCAATGAAGGAAGTTATTCATCTTTAACTATGATGGACAATCATCATCATTGATCATCACTGTCATCATTCACTAGCCACCCTGTAACTGCATTTACCCCAGATCCCAATATCTCCTCACCCCAATAGCAGGCCAAACAACTGACTTAATTCCATCATGCTGAAATTAACGTGCCCGGTTGACGGCTGTACCTTGCAATCACAGGACCGTGATGCTGTATTCGCCGACGCTTTGTGAACAGCATTTAAAAATGCATGACAGGACGCCACACAGAACAGTACCCCCATCCAAAGTGAAACTGGATCCCCCACAAGTAGGAGCAGCTTGTGACCCCGACCAATGGTCAGCATTTACAAGAGAGTGGACTATGTATAAAAAAGGAAATGGCGATCTCTAGCACCATGGCACCGACAGCCCTCTTCTACTGTTGCACCCAAGACTTGCGCACTGATATCATGTGATCTCTGTGATGATGTCTCAGCAAAGACAGAGGAAGACCTCCTAGTAGCCATTAGGAGACTAGCGGCGAAAGAGGAAAGCACCTTAGTCCATCGCATCAAATTGAGTAAAATGACTCGGTCACCTGGAACAGGAATAAGGACATTCCTAGCAAGCCGAAGGGGACAGTCATCTCTTTGCCAATATACTGCTCGATGCAGGGAACCCAACAGCACACATACATTCAACTACAGTGACGAAATTATAAAAGACAACCTGATCCGAGGCACTGAATATACTATTAGTGGTTATATTCATACACTGCAACTCTTATTTCCCCTTTGCTCCTTACAAGGCAGCTTTGGCACCGGCAGTTGGTAGATCGGAGTTTTACCTTCCGCTATATTCAGTTCCCTTAATTTACTTTGATCCATCTCATTCTCATCCTCAAAACAACCCTTCACTTCCTCATGACTTCTTACTTTTCCTCCTCATCCTTTTCTGCATTGATTTGTCCGGTGTCTCATGAACCTTTCAATATTTTTTTTGCTTCTTAATATTTCATTTCATTTATTTCACTTTCCATTGACGGATCATCTGAGTCATCAGTTTTAAATGTACCCTATAAAACTTTTCCCCGGGGGAGGGAGATAGAAACTCATCTCTCATCCTTCCTGAGATTTTTTGTCCATCATCCTTTTCCACTCACTCCAACCATACATATCCCATAACATTTGAACTTAGGGGGGAAGGGAACAATACACATCCATTCGCACTGTAATCATTTTTCATACATGCTCGTATCCATGTTTAACTAAGAATAGGTGTGTGCGTAAGGATCAAGGGACCAAAGTGTCACAATAACATCATCCTATGGGTGGGACCATGACCATGTAGGTCTCTTTGAAGCTAATTGGTTTAATTAATGTTAAGATAATTTCAGCCCTTTTAGATCTAGAAAATCTAGTAATCGGTATTAATCCATTCTCATTGTTCTTACCTGTTAATTACAGTTCAAATAGTCATAGAATATTTGTCATGTTGTGGAAAAGGATTTCACCCTTTGAATCTTAATAATACAGTCAAACCTGCCCTGACGGCCACCTGTACAAACGGACACTTTCCATTTCCCCCCTTATGTTTTTTCTATATAATTTAACTGTGTAAAACAGGCACCTATCCAACGTGGCCGCGGCCACCAAATTTTATCACACAACCTCTATCACACTAAGCAATAACACCTGTCTTAGACGGCCACCTCAGTGACTCCGAGACGTTTTTTCATAAATTGTGCATTGGCCCCTGGCGTTGTAGGCGAGCCGTCATAATTCAATCACCTGTCGTTGTTAGGTAGTCTTCCTCCAACCGATCATGTTGCGTAGGCCCCTCCCACTGTTGACCAATAGCTACCAATTTTCAGCTGCTGGTGAGGTACGCGTGTGATCCCTCATAACCCATAAGCCCCGCCCAGAACTCATACACAAATCATAAGTGAGATGAGTGGTCACTGTTTACCTAGTCTGTAACAAAGTAACAAAGGACGTCCACATGAACTTGCGACAGAAGCGTCGCTCGTTCTCCGAGTGGTGGCAACCCATGTGGTTGTTTTAACATGGCACTCGGTCTTCCTCGTCCAATACATTTCGTTTTACTATCACCCTTGCGCAAAATCAGCAACATAATAAAAATTACAAACAAAATATACAAACCAACAACAACAACAAGAAAAACAACAACAATGCGGCCACTTTCGATTGGGACCTCTGATGGGAATGGTTTGTTTTCTTCACCTTGATCAGTCCTGCCTAAGACGGCCACCTGTCTTATACGGCCACTTTTCTCCTTGACAATAGGTGGCCGTCTTACACAGGTTTGACTGTTAGAGCATGTTCAATAACATCAATGAAGGAATTCATCTTTAACTAGATCTAGAATTAAAGTTCAAACAGCCTCCAGCAGCTGTTCAGACTCGAGTCCGAATAGTCACTTTGATTTTTATAATCATGATCAGATGACGAGGCGGCAGGCATCCCCCTTGCGAGGTCAAATAAGATGGCTGTTACAATAATTTAGGGCCGTCATTATTCGGACTCGAGTCCGAGTAACATTTTTTCATATTCGGACTCGAGTCCGAATAACATTTTTTCATATTCTCGGACTCGAGTCCGAATAACATTTTTTCATATTCGGACTCGAGTCCGAATATGAACAAATGTTATTCGGACACGGTCTGGAAAAAAGGAAGTGTCTTAGTTCTATAGATCTAACGTTCAGTGCTTCCAATTTTCCGCCGTTTTTTAGTTTCCCCCACACTTAATCTGCCGATCCGATGCCCGCCGCCTCATTGATACGCCTCCCCCACCCCCCATGTTTCCCACTTTCTTTGTGGTAGAAAAAGGTAAAATTAAGGATTAGCAGATCACCTGACACCTTCATATTATGAGTTGTGTAAAAAAAAAGATCGATACGTTCAAATGTCATCTCGATTGTTTTACCAAGAAAAAGTTGTGTTGCTGTGTAGAGCCGAGCATACGGCAACTTTTGATTCCATAGACCAACGCACAATTCATTACGTAGATCTACGTCAAGACTAGCTTATTATTGTAATGATCAGTTGCCGGGGGGGGGAGACTGAGAAAAACGCGTATGCGACGTTCAACGCCCGGACGATAGTGCCCCCCCCTCCCCGACACGCACACACAGCCACACGTGTGCAGGCCGCCCATCCGACCCCGACACACGCTAACGAGCCATCTTTAATTGCTTCTGATGACCTCTTGACAAATAAACATTTATTAGAAGCGCTATAACTTTTCAGGCCGGCCTCAAATTCATCATAAGATAAAAACTCGGCTCCTGCACAATTTAACGCCATTTTGCCCGAAGTGATCCCGGTCTCTACCCAGCCTGAGGCGAGTCACGAGTGAGGCAGGACAGGAAGCCGGAGTCACGAGTCACAGGAAGTCGGCAGTGATGTCATGCTGGACAAGAATCAGAGTCCGAATAAAATCTTTTCATATTCGGACTCGAGTCCAAATAGTCACTTCGAATCTAAATAAATCTAAATCTAGATCTAGTAAATATCTGCCAATGGCCCCATGGCGTACAACTGACGTTCTCTAAATTTTTATCCACTTGGCTTGTTAGTAGGCTATATAATACTGAGGGAGTGTATACAGACCCGGTAACCGGGAATAAAGTCACAAAGTATACAGACCCGGTAGGGGAACTCTTTTGTGATTTCGGAAAGTTTCAGCACCCTCTTGGCTCAGGGTAGAACTAGGTTCTTCTAGATCTATGGCCTAGGTCTAGATCTAGACAGACAGATATAAAAATCATTGACCTATTTCGAGGCTAGCCTAGATCTAGATCTAAAACTAAATGAAGATTGCGGATATGTCTTTTCGATGAACGATCGTTTTTCCCCTGTTTTGGAGTTGGAGGAATCACAATTTGAAGAAAAGAACAAAGTCATAATTTCAATCGAGCAGTCACCCCCCCTCTCTCTCTCTCTCTCTTTCTCTCTATCTCTATCCCTCTCTGTGTGTATCGCTCGCATTCTTTTTTTCTTTGTTTGCCTCTGTCTTTCGTTCCCTCCTGCCAACTGGCGGGCATGTCATATATATACATTTTGCTAGCACTTCTCCCTGCTCTCTCTCTCTCTAACTCTCTCTCTCTCACACACACACACACACACACACTACCGGGTCTGGGCGCTGAAACTTTCCGAAATCACAAAAGAGTTCCCCTACCGGGTCTGTATACTTCGTGACTTTGTTCCCGGTTACCGGGTCTGTATACACTTCGTAATACTAATACTATAAGTAGGCTAGGCCTAGAATCTAGATCTAGATATGTCTATCTAGTCTAGAAGCAGGATATAGATCTATATCTAAATCTAGATCCTAGCAGACTCGATAGGAAGGATTTATAAATTATAAATTTAAGTTGTGTAACTTGACTTGAGTTCGCGCTGGGCCACCACAGTCGGCGCCCATTATTTCAGGGCAAAATACTTCGACCTTACCTTTTAATTTCTTTATTAACTCAAGCAATTGTTCAGGGTTCAGTAGAGAAATTTTCGCCGGGAATGCGATCGTTTATTACATGTGTGGCCTACGAGAATTCTTGGAGAACGAAGCCGATGAATGAAGAGAAAGCATTGATGAAGCAAAATTGCCCTTCGGATTTGGTTGATGGAAACTTTAACTTGACTTTTTATCTTGAAGAGTTAGCCTTGTCAAGGGAGTTCATTCACATATCCCAAACTCTGTCGTCACGCCCCCCTATTTTTGATGAAAGCGGAAATGTTTACATTAGAGGCCAGAGATTATCTCATCTGTTTTACCTCCCTCTTTCTGATGCTATGAAAAACCGTTTGTGTCAGTATTGTCTTTCTTCTGGTTTTACCCACATTGTGACATAGGCCTAGGTCTATCGGTTGAGAAGATTTTGATCCGGGAAGAGGCTAGAAAGGTAAAAACCTCTGTCACCTCTGATCTATCGTGCCTGTTCAATTCAATGAAAAATTAATCTCAGTCTAGAATAGATAAATTCTCGTTGTTGCCGTTTCTGATTTCATTTTCACATTAATTCGTTCATTCATTTTAGGTTTTTAAGTCAAATTATAAAAAGTCTAGATCTAGATCTAGATCTAGATATAGTTATCTAGATATCTAGATCTCTAGGTGTATGATGTATCTTGAAGAAAGACTTCTCAGTGTAGTTCATTTACTATAAACGGTAGATGATGATTTTGTCTGTGAACACGGATTAACAGGGACAATGATGAATGATACAGAGGTACGACATAACATGAAATAATATGGGGTACACCACATAACGTACAGAGAACATGAACTAATATATCACAGCCATACATTCCCCCCCCCCCCCCCCAAGTTCATCATGGCATGTTCAGATCTTTCCTCCCCCCCCCCCCCCTTTGGTTTTCTTCCCCCCCCCCTGCTCCTGAGGTTTGACTGCTTCCTGTAACTCCTCTTTATAAATTATGTGTGGGAGAAGGCGTTTCAGGGCTGCGGGAAGACTTTTCTTTGCCTCCTGAGGTGCCTCTGGGGGTTGGGGCTGAGGGGAAGGGCTTGAAGCAATCCTTTGATCCTCATTGACTGGCTCAGTCGCAAACTCATGTCCCTTATGGATCTCTCTTCCTCCAAAGGCAGAGTAACCTCAAAGTCATTTGGGCTGTTACGTGCCGGTGCCGGTTGTATGGTCGAAGTGGCAGGCTGGAACTGGCGAAGGAAGCGCCGGTTTCTCGACGTCAGCTGTCCTGAGCCATCAATCTTGACCACGTATTGGTCATTGGGGCCGGTTTCAATAACTAATCCTGTTCTGCCTCATCTTTTAGGGCTATTGCTAGTCTGGTTGTGGACAAAACATCTGTCCCCAATGGACATCTTGCACAGGTTTGTTGAGTGCTTGTTGAGCTTCCCTGATGTTTTTACGAACCTTGTCCGTCGCGCAGTTTCCTTGGCCTCCCATGCCTCTCTCCAAATGGGTTGTATGGTCTTATTACATAATTTTTCAAGCCTATTCACAAAAGAGAATATGTCTCTGATCAGACGCCCGAAGACAGTCTCAGCAGGTGAAAGCTTGCAATCAGTGTCTGGGGTGTTCCTTAGTTGCAGAAGGGCTTTCAAGAATTTGTCGCTGTCGAGGCTTCCTGAGGGGTTGATGTTGGATCTGAGATGGCGCTTGGCCAATTTGACCGCTACTTCAGCACGCCCATTGGATTGTGGGTGGTATGCGGACGATTTCCTATGGTGTACACCCCATGTGGACAGGAAATTTTTTGTCTGGCTGGCAGTGAATTCAGGGCCGCCATCTGATGACAACTCCTCAGGTACCCCAAATGTGGCGAAAAATTGCCGTAGACAGGCTATAAAAGGCCTTTTGCTCCAGCATGCGCACTTCTTGTGGGGGTGGAATAAACCTCGGGCCACCCAGACAGACAGTCACCGATCACCAGATAATGGTGGCCTCCATAGTCAAAGAAGTCTGCAAAGACTTTCTCGAATGGGGTTGAGGGTGGGTGTGCAGGGTTTGAAGGAAGTTGGGCTTGAGACGAGGCATTCTTGTTGCAGTCCGTGCTTCTGGCTCGAACATGCTGTTTGACCTTAGTCATTCCTGGCCAGAGCACAATGGACTGAGCCCATATCTCCATTGATGAGACTCCTTGGTGAAGGCCCTCAGTAATGGTCTTCCTTAGGGACGATGGTATGACAACTCTATCTCTGTAGAGGATGACACCATCCAAGACATATAGGGACTCGCAATACCTCGTGTACTCACTCAAATCTGGCGTGTCTTCCCATTCTCGATCATTTGATGATATAAGGGCACTGAGTAGGGTCCTTTTGGGTTTCTGTGACTATCCGGTCCCATGATATGGTGGTCACATCTACCACATCACTGCTAATGGATGCTGCGATCATGCTTTCTGACATGTCTGCAATGGAGAGTGTGTTGTTTGCGTGTGGTGAGGGGTATCTTGACATTGCATCAGCAACGCTGTTTGTGACCCCCACATATGCTCGATGCGGAAGTACCACGGTAACGTTCGCTGCTTCAAATGAAAGAGCCGTGTGTTTGATATCTCATCCAACGTCCTGTCCCCAAAGATTTTCTTCAAGGGTTTGTGGTCTGTGACTATCAACAAGTTCTGGAAGCCTTGGGTGAAATACCTGGTCTGCTCCAGACCCCATGCTACTGCTAGTGGTTCACCTTCTGTATTACCTGTATTACCTGTCCTGGGCAACAACGTCATTGCACACCAGACAGGTCCATAAGTGCTCAGTTCCCCCCAGCACCAGAGCCCGCAAGGTATCCATACTGATTGTTCCGGTGGCTGTCTGATTGTGGCGACGTCTTTCCTTTCCAGATAATCGTTCCTTTCTTCCTTCTCCCCTCTCTATCCCCATTTCCCGCATCCTAATGATTGCGTGGTGTTCTGTTGTCTCCTTGTCTTCTTCATCCCGCAACTCTTTCTCCAGGGTCTTCAACACTTCTCCTTTGTCAAATTTCACCTCACCATCAACCACGGCACTGCCTGCCAGCCTATCAGCCTCCTCATTGCCTTTCACTCCAGAGTGCCCAGGACAAAATATCCTCGTGATGGCTCTAAGTGATGAGTGTTGTATTGGGTTCATCCATTCACTCCGAAGAAGCCCTTTCTCAACCCTTCGCAAGATGCTCTGGGAGTCCGTGACAATGATGAGATGAGTTGTTCTTGGTCTTGTATTATGAAGCCATCGAAGCGCTCTTGTTACGGCCTCAATCTCCATTTTCATGCTTGAAGTTGTTTTTTCTATGGCCCCTGACATGCCATGAACCTTTTTGTTTCCACTGTACACCACAAAACCCCATCCACTTCTCTCACCCCTCCTGACTGATCCATCCGTATAGATCACTGGGTCCTCTGGTTTGGAATGCTCCTCAATTAACTGTCGTATATCATTGTCGTTAATGACAACAGCACATTCCCGTCTTTCACCACCCATAGTGATGTGAACGTTGGCCAGGCTTCTACAATCGGGGCTCAGTTCAAACCACTCCTTTCCACAGCATATTTCATCGATGCCACAAACTTTCCTCAAGGAGTCTTCGACTTCTGCCATCCATGAGCTGCCCCGTTTGATCCTGTTTCCTTTGATGCTGCCCAGGTTGTCATGCAAAGGGTGCCTTGGGTCTCCCAAAACATTCAAGTACAGCTTTGCCTGTGCCACCTTATGCCTCACTTTGATGCTGGCCAGGTCAAGGATGTATCTCATACAGACAACATGGGTGTCCTTTGTGCAACCTAGAACAGCCCTCATAGCTGCATTCTGTACTCTCTCCATCCTGTCTGTCTGAGTCTTGGACAGGGAGAGGATGCCCAGCCCATAGTCTATGACTGACAGAACCACCAGTTGCATTAGGAGAAAAAGAACTCTCTGTTGAATTCCCGCTGAAGCCAAGGTCTTCACTACACTGATGCCCTTCTGAGCCCTGACAGCAACATTGTCAGTATGTCCTCGGAACGAAAGTGTCCTGTCCAGAGTGATTCCCAGGTACTTCAGCTCATGCTGACTATGAGAAAGTGGTCAAACACAATTGGAGGCGTAGGATCTTTCACAATACGGTTGTTGAGTGAGCACCAGATGACCTGTGCCTTGTCTGGATTGATGACCGCATTGTATTCCTCACACCAATCTGCGACCTTGCTCAGCCTGTCCTGTAGCATCCGTCCAACTGCTAGCCTATTGCGACCTTGTCCGTAGACCATCACATCATCTGCAAATGTTAGGATTCTTCCTGCTCCACTTACACCGATCCTGGCAATTTTGGATGTATATATGTTGAACAGAACCAGTGATAATGCTGATCCTTGTGGCAGTCCTGAGGCAATCACTACTGGGTCTGATATCCATCGCCCACTTCTCAGCACCACGTTCCTCTCAAACTGAGCTTCGGAGATCCATTGTATCAACCAGGGGTCAACATCCATTTCCATCAGGAGATCCATGAGCTTGCCGTAATCAACTCGGTTGTAAGCATCCTCTAGGTCTATAGCAGCCATTGCTGTCTCCTCCTTTCTCTGGAACCCTTCAAATGCATCATAGGCTAACACAGCTGTGTTTGTGCAGGTGTCTTTCCCTGGTCTGTAGCTTCCAAGGCCGTCTGGAAGGAGCTTTTTCCTCTCTAGGTAAATTGCCAGCCATTTGACCACAATTTTTTCCAGGATCTTTCCATACGTGTTCTGCATGGTGATGATTCTGTATCCCTTGATGTTGGAGTGGTCTTTGCCTGGTTTAGGAAGAGGCATGAGGTAGCTGTGTAGCCACTCCTCTGGGATCTTGCCTTTGGCCAGACTCTCGTTGAAGTCCTCCACCATGCCCTGTAGATCTTTTTCATCTGTATCCTTAAAATGGCTGTATCTCACCTCATCAGGCCCTGCTGCACTATCCTTCGTTCCACTTATGACCCGTTTCACTTCCTGTATTGTGACACCCTCTCCATACTGCACCTCTGGCACAGCAGTCTTCATAATTGCCCTGATGTTAGCACGCTCCTCCATGTTGCCTTGGTGAGTCTGCTTGATGTACCTCTCAAGGAAAGCTTGGCCTTTTGCTTCATCTGTCTCCAGTAGCCTATCGTTCTCATCTTTAACAGACAGAGAGCCAGCGTCAGTCCTTAATCCCTTCATTTTTCTGTGCAATTTCCAGTATCTGTGTAGCGCCTTCTCAGATGACGCCTCGGTCAGGTACTGCTCCCATCGTTCCTGCTTGGCCTCATTTGCACTTTCCCTGAAAAGCCGCCCGCCTCTTTTCATCCGCTTTCTGAGAGTATTCTTCTCCTCGTCTGATACCTTATCCGATTTCCTCGCCCTATGCCATGCTCTTGTTGACCTTCTCTTCTGTAGCCACAGCTCTTCAAGTACAGGATTCCAATAAGGCGGCTGAACGAAGTTTGATTTAGTTGCGCGTGATGCCCAAGCCTTTCTCCTTATTTTTTGCAGCACAGTAGAGTCACTGTCCTTTCCATATCTGAATGTTTTTTTCATCTTGCATTTTTCATCCTTCCCCTTGTGGCAATTGATCATTACGGAACAAGGCATATGATCGCTTCCATGGTCTGACAGAGGCTGCCATTTAGCAAGGACCTCCGAGCCTGCTGTAATCAATGCCAAATCTATATTGGAATCATCCTCTCTATTGCGCTGTGCAATCCTTGTCATGTGTGTTCCATTGAGGATGGAAAAACTGCTCTCTATCATCGCCTTCTCCAGCGCCTTTCCTTGGATGTTATCGTGTACATTTCCCCATGTGACACTCCTGGCGTTGAAGTCCCGTACGATCATCACCCTTTCACTTAGTTGGCCGAGCTCCTCCAGGAAGTCCCAATCACCTTCTATTGCTGCATAACCTTGTTCAGCACCATTCAAGAAGCGTGATCCTGCTAGGGTGATTCTCCAGCCCTCAGTGCAACAGTCTGGCATCGCAGACTCGCTGGTGCAATGTTTCTGTAAAAGGACGTAGCCGATACCTTCCTTTGACCAGTCTGGGCGAAGGCATGTGGGTCTTTTAATGTAAAAAATTTCCACACCTTTGCAGATGGCATCGATGATCACTTCTCAAATGCCCTGTCCAGGAAAGGGGACCAGAAAAATTTGTATTTGGGACTTAGAAAAGGTCGGAGGAGCTTCAGTGCATCTCTAAGCTGGGCGTAATTGGCCACCTGATTGATCAGCCCAAACCAACTGCGGAAATCGAAGTCAGCTTGGACAACTTCATTGCATGTGCATTTAGCGAACATGCAAGTCTCGGCCTTGCCCTTTACCCTGGCAGCGAAAGTGCGAAATTGTTCATCGGGTGCCTGGCGTAGCTGCATGAGTTCTGCCCTTCTCGCACCAATGGTGACTGGTATCACAGCAAATTCCCGCATCATTGACTTGACCTCCTTGACTGATTTCGACTGGAAATTAGGGTCTGCCTTCAGTATCAGATCGCCCACGGGTTCTGACACACATTGGAACAGTTGCATTGAGGCAGTGGCCTCGTTTATGCCCGATCCTATTTTGAAAGCCTCCCATCTCCTTACGAACCCGTTCCATACCTCCTCCTCTACCCCGATGTCAATTTTGGGACGGTCGAGTTTTGGTTGAGGTGGTGCAGGAGGGTGGGCAGTTTGAGTGTATGCGAGGGCATGTATATTAAGCAGTGCCGCCACCACCGGGGCATCTCCTTCACCGGTTTTATAGTCACAGCCTGGGAAAGGGCATATGAACATGTTGCCGAGTTGTAGGTTGAAGACTGGTGGGTTAGTTGTCCTGGGTGCTCAATTGCTTTCAAACTTTCTCATAAGGCTGACACCGTCATGAAGAATGCTATTGTGGCTGCTCTCAATCTCGAAAAGTGGGCAACAATAACCGTTTCAAATTCTCCCCGTCAAAGACGGTTGCAATACACTTCTGCCGAACAGGCAGACGTGTGCTGCAACCGGATTTGACACTATACGGGGAAAGGATTCCCGTCCAGGACCAGGCCCGTTACCTGGGCGTTATATTCGACAAAAATCTCCCATTCATACCACACATCAAAGACCTTCGTGTAGGGTGCCAGAAAGCATTAAATGCTTTGAAAATTTTATCACATCCGGAGTGGGGCGGGGACTCAAAACACCTTCTCCACTTGTACGTTTCCTTTGTCCGGTCCAGGCTTGACTACGGCTGTCAAGTCTACGGATCGGTAAAAAACATTCGTCCTGAAAATGCTAGACCCAGTACAAAACCAAGGACTCCGCCTCGCTCTGGGGGCTTTCCGCACTTCCCCGATGGAGAGCCTCCAGGCCGAGGCAAACATACCGTTACTCTCTCTCAGACGCACACAACTCTCACTACCATACGCAATTAAACAGCTCAACACCAGAAAATCCAGCGTACAACTACATTTTTAAAACAAACCCAGAAAGCATAAACAAATTCCAAAACAACGAAAAACTATCAAACCCTTCGGCCTCAGAGTCCTTGAGGACCTCAAAAACTCACACTTTTCCAAACAAGACATCCAACAATTTCTTTTCCCCGACCTCCCTCCGTGGCACCTCATCAAGGCAAAAGTAGACTTACAGCTGACCACACACAACAAAGAAAGCACAAACGCAGAAACTTTTAAAGCAGAATACAAAAAACTAATACATAAATACCCCGGTGCGGAGCTCATCTTCACGGATAGCTCCAAAAAAGCCCTATCCTCCAACAGTACACACCAGAGGAGACTCCATCCTGATGCCTCCATTTTCTCTGCGGAGGACACTGCCATTGACATGGCACTGGACTCCGTAGAACATTCTCCTAACAAATCTTTCCTTATCCTTTCTGACTCGCTGTCTTGCAACACCTCACTTTCAAACTACACACTCCTACTACCAAAAATAGTTAGGCTACAACAGAAAATTTTCACCCTATCTGAAACAGGAAAAAATATCATGTTCGCATGAATACCTAGCCATGTGGGCATCCGAGGAAACGAGCAGGTAGATGACCTGGCGAAGAAATCCTCATCCCTTCTATTGGGATCAACGACGAACACTCTCCCACAGACTGACTTTAAAAATAAAGTAAAAAAGTACACCTCCAGTTTGTGGGAGAGCCACTGGAAAAAACAGAAAAATAACAAACTCTATTATATAAAACCCAAACTGGGACCGCGAAATCTTTCGGGCCTCTCCAGAAGAGACGAAGTATTTTTTACTTGATTGCGCATCGGACGCACGGCCCTGACACACAAATACCTCCTACAGTGAGAAGAGAAGCCGTTCTGTGTTGCATGAGACACAGATTTTACCATTAGACACATTTTAACAGAATGTCTAGACTTTGGAGAGATTCGAAGGAAATACTTTACATGCCAAAAATTGCAAGACATTTTTTCCATCTTTGGTCCTAACAGATTTTTGGATTTTATGAAGGCCATTGGCCTTTATGGAAAATTGTAGTATAGAACAATATTCAATATTAAAAATTTTTATGAAAGTTGTTTTAGTCTGAAATTATATATCTACACCAAATGTTTTATATTTTAACGATTAAGATTTTTAAAAAACGGTACACAACCGTGCAGTGAACTACATATAAAAAAAACTAACTTGTGTTTCATGCGCTCATATGACCTTATGCAGTTGCGAGCACAATCTTTCTTGGACATTATGAATATAATTTAATTAGCCTGTGGATATGGGTCTATCGGGCTTAACATTATTTTATCCTTTCTCAATGAATTTTAGTCCAGTTTCTCAGTTTTGTTTACAAGCCAAAATGAAAGAAGAATTTCAGGTGCTGTACTGTAATGAGGCCCTCTGCTTCATATGGCTCACTTTTTTATCCTTTCTGCTAAGAATTTTGCCAATTTGTCGCCATGTATTATAACTTGATTTGAACTGTTCTCTTTGGGCCACTCAATTATATTTTTTATTGGTGTTCTTATTTGTTTCAGATTCCAGAATCAAAATGACAATTTTGTACAGCTGCGTAGCAAGAGGCACCACAGTGCTATGCTCGAACCAGTCAGGCGCAGGGAATTTTCCTGAAACTATACAGTCAATGCTGCCTAACATTCCAAGTCGAAGTGATGGAAAGAAAACTTATACATCAAACAAGTGAGTATGAAATTGTAATACAGTAGAACCTATCCATAAAAGTCCCTCAAGAACAGAGAGGAAAATAACCATTGTAGACAGGTAACTGCTATGGACAGGTTTTGAGTTATGGTTGCTTACAACATTTGACAAAATCAGCAGATATACCTGAAATCTTAATTTTAGTTTTTCCTTTCAGTGCCATTTGAAATTGTTTGTCCATCATAAGAGCTTCTTTGCATTGATTGAGCATTCTCTCTCGTGAACTAGAGGTGTGGTGTTCGCCTCTCATTCAATAGGTCCCAGGTTCAAAATGTTCTGTTTTCACCTCCTTTCCTGCTCTCTAATCATATTCCATCATATGCTTTCATCTCCACTTTCTGCCCCCCATGACTGCATTGGATAGGAGCCGCTGTGGACAGGTTAAAAATAATATTATAAGAAAAATGCAAGGATGTCATGGAACAGTGGCAGTTAGTACCTGTAGGTGTTCTGTATGGAGAGGTGACTGCTAAGGCAGAGGTTCAACTGCAGCAGAGTGGTTTTATGCTTGTACATACTATGAAACACTTTTATCTATTTCAACTTTACTTTGACTTCAGTGAGAAAATGTTTCATGTAAACATGTGACCTGAAGAGGCCAAAATTAATGTTTACTTACATCATTTCTCATCAAAATAGTGTTGCACACCTTCTTCTTTCCTAAAGAAATTTTACTGGTTGTAAATTTTTGTGCCCCCAAAAAGTTCTATTAAGTTTTTGCAGCCTAGTTGTGTTATAGGACTGAATGAAATTTGATAAATATTTTTTTGTTCTCAGTTATGAATTCCACTGCCTCATTGAAAATGGCATGCTGTTTGTTTGTGCCACAAATGCTGGAGTCAGCAAACAGCAACCCTATGGCTTTTTGGCGGAGGTGAGTTAAGCATGTCTACTGTTATTAATTGGATAATGTGGAAAAATCATTAGTTACAGTTCATTTGGTTTTAATCTGTGTGCATATATGGTATTTAAGCATTGTGCTAACCAGTGGTGTCCAGTTGGTTGTGGCGTGTAGCTGAAATTCCACCTGGACTTCTTCACCAAAAGTTAAGTTACTGCTGACTAAAATCAAAACAAAACATTAAAAAAAACTACTAGAATTAACAGAGTCTAATCTGAAGAAAAAAAAAGCGTCAAGGATATATGTTAGGCATGGCAGTGATATCAGGCACTCGTCAAAATAATGAAACTGAAGATACCGGCATTTTTCTGTCGGTTTTGCCTTTTTTATTGAAATTTTGTTGTTTTGGCAAACACCTTTTATGTCTATTTTAAAACTCATTTTTGTGTGAATTTTACTGAAAAACATTTATCAAAGACACACAAAAAATGTTAATTTGCAGTTTTCAAGGTCACTCAAGCTTAAAAAGTCCCCAATATTTGATAGCAATGTTTTTTCTTAATTTACCTTTGACTCCAGATGACCCCCACCTCCTTCAATTACAATCATCTCTCAACTTCTATTCAAGGTAGATGAGTACCTTTTTCACCAAAAGCAAGACAAAGAACAAGCTTTAACGTTATACCTATAACTCCACATGTGCAAAAATTGATAAATGCCAGATTGCACTGTGTCATGACACATATTAGTATTATTAGGTGTTGATATATATGGTATGTGAGTTTTGAGACAGACAGACAGAAGATAGATTTTTGTTCCGTTAATATGTTTTTGTAATCTTTTCAGTCTTTGGTAAGTGCATTGAAACTTAACTGAGTGGAAATTTGCAATATGAATGGGGCTCTTTAGTATTAATCCAACTACTGTTGATATAAAAATATGTGTTTCTAATCGACAGATTAAAAAGCGTTTCCAATCAGGTTCCTTACCTGGTCGAGCAATGACTTCGGAGGCAGGAGAACTTGACAGCGAATTTGACCATGTTCTAAGCCAACAAATGGTAAGTTCTCTTTGCTTTCTTTTGTGTTTTTTGTCATTAGCTGCTCATGATGGTGGATGTAGCGTCTCTTATTCTGTTGTAAAAACCTGACACTGTTCCTCTTTTCATTAGCATTGTCATTGTAGTTAACTGTAAATGCTACTTCCATCACCGTCTCGGTCTACCTCTTTGTCTTTTCCTGTTTATCACTCCTTCCTGTTTTGTTTTGGTCTTTTTACTTCATGTGTCTCCAATTTGCTTACTTCCTTCATATGAGAACAAACCCATAACGAGTTGCACATATTGCCTTTTTGGAGGGGTATTTCATATACTCCTCTTTACCTTTTCTCGAAACAATGCTCTGACGAGGTTTTTGCTTTTGGTGATGTCCAAAATTGCTCGTAAATTACATTATTTCTTTGAAAAACAAAGAATATACCAACCTTTTTTTTTAAACTGTAGTAATTTTCATGTCTCTTTCCTGAAAAGATGTCCATTCTAGTATTCTGGAAACAATGTTAAAACACTGAATGGGGATATATAGATAACCAGCAGTGAAGGGAGTAAAAATCCCCATTTTATTTACCCAAATTCCCATACATTTAACGGTGTACAGTTTCTGGCTTTAAAAAAAATTATTTTGGGTTCTACTTTTGCCCAATATTTATTAGATGTGTTTGCATCTTTATCTTTATCTTTATTGTAGAACACTTACTAAAACCAACAAGCATCTTTATCCATGTCCCAATATATAACTTTTTGTGTCTATACGCTGTTTTTTCTCCCTCAGCAAAAATACTCCCAGGCTGGTGTGGGCAGCAACAGTGCTGTGGCTGCAGTACAGAAGCAAGTGGAGGAGGTCAAGGGGGTCATGTCTCAGAATATAGAGCGTGTGTTAGAGCGTGGAGACCGACTAGAGGATCTTATGGATAAGACAGAAGAACTGGAAGCTGGGGTGAGTTGGAAAAGTTTAGCTGGGTGTTTCTTAATTCTATCTTTACAAGTGTTTGGAGGTGCATGTAAAAACTCTTGCCTAATCAGTTGTTTGTCCAGAGCAAATTTTATTTTATTTTTCTCACAGGAATTGAGGCTTGTTTGAAAGTGGTACTCTTACATTTTAGTCTGAATTTTGCTTTTGTTGTTAGTGGGATAAATAGGAACATTGGGAACAGATATATGTTGACATGGTTAGACGGGGGGGGGGGGGGGGGGGGTTGGAAATAGAGCAAAGGAGCAGTAGCAAACATTATTATATTTCAGTGAAAACTTTCTAAGACAGCCATCTGTTATTGAGGAGAAAAGTGGCCATCTTTAACAGGAGGCTGTTTGACGCAGTGTCAATATAATGTAAAAAATATGCAAGGAAGGAAATTGGTAGTGATAATTAGAGCAGGTTCAACTGTAATTTTTGAGAATGAGTAGATTTGATCAGCCTTGAACACAGAAGGAGTTGTGCAGGGCTTTGAGTAGATGCTGAAAAAGCTTCTGAATGTTTTTCTCTATATTTTAAATATTTGAAACAAAACTAATTGTTATATTGGTTGTTCTTTGTTCATTTGCAGGCAGCAACATTCCAACGTACTTCCCGTAAGATTCAGAGGCGCTACTTTTGGAAGAACAAGAAGATGACGATCATCCTGGCATGTATATTGCTGGTGGTTGTTCTTGTCATCGTTCTGATCATCCTATTCTCTACGGGCATCTTGCCTCCTGACAGTGATGATGACGATAAGCCAAAACCAAGTCCCACATCAAGTTCACCGTAGAGACCTCACAGGTCTGTTAGCTACAGGGGTAATTTGATTACAAAGACTGTGAATCATGCTTAGTAATTTATTCCTCTATAATTCAGTTTCCATACATTTCATTTGTTTTTCTTCCTTTCATAAATAAGCTATTTTACTCTGAATGTAAATTCAAAGTCAGTTGTAATGAATAGTCAGTGTTCTTGGTATGATTGTAGATGTTTTATGCCCTCATCTACACTTTTTAGATTTTCCAGACTTTTTGATCCTGCCTGTCAAGGCCAACGTGGACTGACAGGGATTCAAAGTCCTGCTAAAAAGAGTAGGATACTCGATAAAGATCTCCCTATATAGGAATCGAACTCACCTCTTCTGTATAGAATGGCAAAGAGCAAAACCACTACACCACAGATGCACGTATCATTTTTTATGTCATCAGTACACTTTTGTTATGAAAAAGTTATTGAGTGGCTCTTAAGCAACATTAAGAGCCTCATGAGTATTATATTTTTAGTTGTATTGGTCTGAATGCTCAGAGGTTTTGCAAAGCATGATGAAGATTCTCTCTTCTTTCCCTTTTTTTCACTTCAGCCTTTCTTTCTTTTTTTTATCCAATTCCTGATTTCCTCTTAGAGTACTCATCTGCTTGTTTCTGATGAGAAATAAATATATGACGCATCACAAATGTGCATCACTTTTATAGCGGGTCAAAGAGTTGAGCAGTAAGGACGAAAATGCCGATGGTCTGTACAGTTTCACGCTTACAATTCAAGAGAACAAGTAGTCATCGGATTTTTTTATATACGCCTTCTCAGTGCTAGATGTTACCGACGGTTCTCCTCATGGGAAAGCCTGCAACTTGTACAGTTAGTACAGTTAGAAAAGGATGGAAGATGAAGATTTAAAGTAGTATCTGCAGAAATGGATTTATAATTTCCATTGTGAAAACATATCTAGTTCCCAACAATCCTTGTCAGTCTCTTGAATCATTACTATTTATATTATACATAATGTTAATTTCTAAATATGGCACATTTGAAAGCTTTAAAAGATCATATTTAAATGTTCATCATCAGTTAAATTGTGCCATTTGAGAAGATACAATGTTGCTAGTTCTGACTAAATTTTCTTTTACCTTGTACGTTTTTACTGTTTCGGACATGAGGAGGGCAAGCAGCATAAAGAGGCAGAGATAACTAATAAAATCACTATGAAGTTTTTTTACTTTCATGAGTTGAATTGAAAACTGATGAGAGTACTATTCCTTCAGCAAAGAAGTGCGTTTAGAATACTACGGCTGCTCTTCTCTAATCTATGCATTTTACTATTTTATACTTGACTGTTCACTTGCTTCTTTTTGTGTTAATGGCAGTAGTATACAGTCAGTTAAGAATTAGATACATTCACTGATGTTTGATTTTGAGATGGAGTCCAAATTTATCTTGTGCTTCTCAGAATGATCCCTGTTGGCCCAATGTTAAGTCAGAGAACCAAGCTTGCCACTTTTAAAGTGATCAAGTAAATTGCAGTAGGGATTTATCCTTTGCCAAAAGCAAGCAAAGATTAAAAGGAATACACAATGCTTTGCGTTTAAGACTGTCACACACTGTAATTTTTTTTTGGTATCTGTGTAGCTATATTATTACAATCTTGATAAATGTGTTTGCTAATTTCAGTTAGGTCTGAGAGTGGAAATATGAATATATATGGCAAGACCACAGAAATATACCACAGTGCCATTGGACACGTTATTGAAATATTGCAGATTGAAATGGTCATTTTCGAATATTCTCATCTGCATTTCGTACAAGAAAAAATGTTGGATATCCTTGTGATTTAGAATTAACAGCAAAAAATGTTTTTAGTGTGAAAGTTTTCGCGATACATTCCAGTTATTTTCACAAGTATTATTTTCCGCCTTGTGCAAAACTTTTTAATAAAATTATTTTACATTATGGCAATATGCAGATATAACTTTCAGACTCTATTTGCTCTTTTTGAAAACAATTGTACTATTTCCTATCATTTACCAGTGTGCTACTTATTGACACTGCTGAACTAATGATCATTTGGATGCTCCTTGTGCTTGTGCATGTATATATTTTTTATACTGTGCTTTGTATATTGAAGAGATTCAACAAGTGTCTTTGCTTGATCTATTTTACAATGCTGTTGAGGTGAAAGACAAAGATTTATCCACAATAAGGGTGAATGAGCTACAGATTTTTGACACTCAGAAATTGAACTTTGTTCACTTAGAGTCTGTCTCCCAATAACATCCTCACCAACTGGAAATTTTTTTTTTAGTACTGAGACTGACTCTTACCAGCATCGATGGAATTGGACGTTTCGACATCACAAATAGAAAGCCTAAGTGCAATCCAGGTGCGGGGAGATTTTTTTTTTCAAGTATTTAGTTCTTTCTACTGGCACGTTTTGTCCCTCTCAGTCCAGGTTGGCCTTGACATGCAGGGTCAAAGCCTGGTTTGCCTCGTAAATGATCTAAAATTGTGTCAGTGGGGATGTAAAACGCTTACATTAAAAAAGAAGACTGGCTCTTCAGGCCGTATGGTGCTCCATTCCCAAGAATCCTGATTGTCATGGCTGCTTATGAAATGTTTTGTGCTGTGCCTCTATCAAGTCAAGTTTTCATACATCATATATATTTTTTCTATAAAACCGGTGCAACCTAGGTTGTGGTTGTTTTCTTCATCAATTTTTGCAAAGAAAATTTATTGTAAAAATATTCTCTCTCGAATAGGATAGAAAAGCTGCATGTGAAGTGTTTGATTTATTCGTAGATATAAATGCAGGCTGAAATTTTATATTTTGAGGAAAGACAAGTCTTTTTATTATCAATTTTTATCAAACAATAAATTAGAAAAAAATATCACCCTGTGTGGCAACTGATCGAGAGAAAACAAATAACTAAAGAATGCTGTAGTATCTTCTTTCATTCTTCTGTCCTTGATCAGTTTTGCCTCTGTCATGCTATGGAAGCAATCCCATATATGTAATTTGATCTCATTTAATTTTTGCTTGTCAAAGAGTTTTTCCAACTACTGTTTTTGGGGATGGGACTATTCTTTGTGCGGCAGGACGTAGTAGTATTGATTCATAATTTATTAAACTGCCAGTAGAACAGAGTGGACTCTTTTAGGAATGCAATATCATGCTAGAAGAGATCAAGATTATAAAGACCTACTGATAAACAAGTGCTCAAGCTTTTCTAATGTAGAATGTTTGCAACAGTAACATGTGTCTTACAATCAAAATGCCTTTCTGTTTTCATGAATTGTATTAAATTATATTTGTATAAGATCAATGATATTGTTATTTTTGTCAAACACATTCCTTCTTGTTATTTTGTCATGTTTGAATGCAAAGTATAAGTCTCTGTGCTTAATTTATTGTCCCTGAAATACAAGTATTTGTGTGGTACTTAAAAGCTTGCTAAAAAAAAAATTGTGATCTACATGTGCAGAATTTATGGAAATATTTGTTTGTGATTATGCAATTCAAATAGTGCTTTAAGAGATGACTTTTATTATCGTTGTTTTAAAAGATTAATGAAGATAAAGTTTTGATATAACGCCTCAATAATTAGTAAAGGAGGCTCATGCCATGACACATTTAGTAAGGAATATTGTATTCTTTGTGGTTTTACAATTGCTTGTGGCACATATTGATAATCCAGACTGCAGAAATGTGGGAGAGAGCTGCATAGATTGTAAAAATGATTTTGATTTGACTGAAGAATTATTGATTGTTTGTCAGTGAAAGATTTTCCTCTGTACAGGTAGGGTTCCTTTTTCCTAATCATTGCTAACCTATAAAAACTAGCTTAGGGTCTATGTTGTTTCACATCTGTAGAGTTTGCGAGATGCATTGACTTCGCCTGCAATAATTCAGTTTTAGAGATGTTTATTGATACAATTATGCTCTATTATTTGTTTTCTTGTTGTCTTTGGTGATACATGTATCACCTTGTGTGCTGCTAGGAAACTTATCATTATCAAAATATTTTTACAAATACGGCTACAGAGGTAGAAATTTGATTATATTTTTCCTTTTTTGTATGAATAATGTCTATTGTCAGGTATCAGATTTGTTTACTTTTTTTCCAAACGACTTACAATGTTTGTCTATGGATTAAACTGTTATGATACTCTTTTCAATGGCGAATTAGGTGCAATTGTTTCCTACCAACATGTTTTTTCTCTAAGAGTCAACAAAGAATAAAACATAATGAATAGTTTTTTACCCTGTCGTGTGATTTTTGTGTGTTTCTTCTCATCATTAATGGCGTGCCTCATATAGCTGCTAGATATAGATTTCCTTACAAGTCGTAGCAAACCAAAACAAAACAGAGAGAGACAGACAGACAGACAGACAGACAGACAGAGAGAGAGAGAGAGAGAGAGAGAGAGAGAGAGAGAGAGAGAGAGAGAGAGAGGGAGAGAGAGAGAGAGAGCTGACGTATGTTGCCTCCTGAGGTGCAGTCGCCGTGTTTGAGTAATATAAGCGACGTAACAAACCAAACAAAACAAGAACAACGGGCGCGACTGGGGCCTGTCCCTGGCCTATAACGAATGGAACATGGTGTGGGTAACAACTACACCGTACTACACGGACAACTACGAGGAAATTGTCCTGAAGAACTGTCCATCTTCTTAACCTTTTCACTGCTATTTCTACTTGGTTGCGGGTGATTTGAGGGTGCCATTGGTAGGTCCTACTTGTTAACTTCCCTTCAGTTGCTTTTATCTTTCTTTTCACAGCACTAAATGATAATTATTTTGTCGACGTACTTCTCTTTATCTAAACTAACAAGCAAACAAACAAACCATCTTCTTAACCTCTTCACTGCCGTATCCACTTATTCAAAGATGGTTCATGGGCATTTTGTTCAATTGGTCTTCGTATAGAAAAAGTCTCAGGGCTTTGAACTGTTAGCTTGTGCAGTTGCTTACTTTTATGGTTGGTTGGTTGACTATTTGTTTCTTTTAGTAAAGAGAAGCCCATCGATACAATAAAGCATATTTGATGCTGGGAAAAAGTAAGAGAGACAGAAACAACAGAGAGACAGTAAAGAAGTAGGACCTACCAGCAGGTCCCCTCAAACCGTCTGCAACTCGCTCTTTCAAAAAGTGTAGGAATTATGCCTTTATTAACATTAACAGCTTTCTTAAACTGACATTTTGTTTCATCTGTGCAAGCGTTCACTTTGTGCCCTCCCCCTTTTTCAAAATCTGGGCTCCTGACTTTCTATTGCTACTCCTACTGGCTCCATCTTACTACTGTGCTGTCTTTCAGCCACACCCCTAAACGTAGGGTAAGTAAGATATAACACCTAGCTTTCTTGGATAAGTTCGAGAAAAATCTCGGAGGTCCCATAACGGGTGTAAGTTGTGCACGTTAGGGATCCCTTGGTGGTCCTAGAAATCGATTAGAGTGGGCATCGGCCATCACCCGGGCAAAATTCAAAATGAATTCCCCCAAACCTGAAAATGCTTAATGTGTCCCGCGCACTCATATGACCTAAGGCAGGTGCGAGCGGCGTAAAACACTTACCAAAACGGACAACAAGGAGAAAACAGTCAAAGCAATGAAAGGGTTAATGCTTAAATGACCAGATATTCCTGGACAAAGCTGAGGCGACTCGTCCAACTCGTGATGGCTCGAGAGTGTGGCCTATGATCCACAAGAGGATGCGAAGACCGACGTAGATAAAATATTGCATAAATTATGTTTGACGTCACTGTCGACACAATTCTGACTATTTACGTATACATGGTCTTCTAATGCATAATTGGAAGTTTGGGTTGTTTCTATCATACCACCCAGTGATCCCAGCTTTTGTAACTTATTCATAATATAATAGTATTATAATCCATTGCCGACTCTTAATTTATCACTGGATGTATGGATTTTTCTATAATATCACCCATTAAGATTTATCACTGGATGTATGGATTTTTCAATAATACCACCCATTAAGATTTACCACCGGATGTATGGATTGTTCCTATCATACCACCTATGCAGTGATCACAGCTTTTGCAGCTTTTTCAGAATATCGAAGGTTGAGACCTTTGAATCAAATTGACGTGACAGGCTGGGTGCGCCGATAGCTCAGGTTACACCATGACAAACTACTGTCCTAGTGACTGTGGTTCAAATTCCCAACGGAATTTTCTTAATTTGGTTTGTTTATGGACTTTGCAAGACTCCTCGCCTAGTTGTAAATGAATTATTGTACACAATGTACATGTATCACGTTCCATTAGAATTTATTTGCATCATTACACTGGGTTTTTTAAAAGTTGTTGGGCTGCCAGCCCAGGCCAGTTCGGGCTGAGTGGGGCGCACGCAGGTTATATAATATAGTACTAGAGCTCGTGGCAGTGAGGACACTCACATAAACGAACGGGGGACTGCGTGTGTCCACTCTGGAACACTGAGAGTTGAGGGCAAGAATAACAGACGCATGTGCACTTTTCGAGACTCACGTGGAGACGTCCAGGTAGTCTTTGGAGGAAATTCTACAAGCTTGCACTGAAATGTGCGGACATACTGTTTTTAAGTTTAATATTGTACTAGAGCTCATGGCGAGCAGAGTGAGGGGTGAGATTGTTCATGTATGTGGGGGCACGCTGGTAATGCCGTTGAGAGCGAGAAGGCCATCATGCCTGACACACATGACGTCACTGCTACGAGCTCTTGCACTGTATTAAATAACCCCTTCTGTGGGATGTCATCTGGACCGACAGGTGGAGGTAGGCCACTCGATAAAATAACATCCCCACCTGCGGGAATAGAAGTCACATCTTTTGCATAAAAAGGAAAAGAGTCTCTACACCGCACATTTCGGTTTATTCCCACTCAGTCCTATCAGCAATGGATTATATTCATATATATTTATATAAATATATGGTCGCTTTTAAGGACAAGTGGGCTAATCCAGATTTCGGGGGTTTCCAGAAATCTTGACCTACACCAAAAGTGGGTGTTGCCCTACCTATAGGAGAAGTTTGGTTTCATTGGTATGTATATTTGTTTGGTAATAGAGGAAACTCTCCTCGTCTTTTAAAGAAAATGAACAAAGGGCAAAAACTTTACCTTCGATTTTCTCAAAAGAGCATTTTTCGGGATAGCCCCCTTGTGCTTAAAAGCGACCATATATAAGCCTACATTGACCATGCAATGTAAACCTAATAAGTTCATTAAACACCTAACCATACACTGTCGTTTTTCAAGAAAGAGAAGCATTCTCTCAAAAGTTTCTCTGGAGTATATGTTCCTGCAGAGAGAATTCAGGGCTGTTTTTTCTTTACACATGTAGTTGGAGGACAAAAGGGAAAAAGAAAAAAAAAACCAGGGGATGCCCTAGCTTTGGCATTTGAGCTGAAACAATGAAACACTTAAAGGCCCACGTTTTCTCGTTGTATTGCTTTATTTTCTGAGCCTGATTCTTGGCGACTCATCAGGTTTTAGCCCTTATTAGATGGGCCAGAAGAGGTGACTTTCCAACCACCGTCACAAGTCAAATCATCCAAAAAAAACAACAACAACAACTGAAAGATCTTTTTTTTCTGCTTGTACCTATCAGTTGTATGTATGTATAGTATAAGGTTTTACGGCGCTCGCAACTGCTATCCTATCAGTTGTATGACTGTGTTCTATAACAATGAGCCTATAGACCTACTTAGCGCCACTTTCAGAGTACTAGTTGATCGCACTGGCTGGTCCCAGGACACAATAATTAGCCCAATGATACTTCAAACAAGATAATATTGTGTACTTGTGTTCTTTTTTCTCATGCGACCTGCCTTGCATCTTGCTGTCAATTATATGTAATATTACAATATTTTCCTACCAGGAAAACAAGCTATATTTTTCTTCTTTTTTATCTGTGTTTTTCCTTAATTTTTTACAAAGTCCAGGTCTCGGTTGTTTACTGTTTCGTCTTAACGTTCTTCCTGCCAATTTTTCTCTCATAACAGAGTAACGTATCACTGTTTGGTTTAGACATCCCAATGTGGACGGTGGAATCACGTGTCAGTTTTTGGGCTTATTTAAGGAGTTATTAAATATCATCTTAAAGCCTGTCCATTTCTATTGCTTTAGAAGAAAAAAAATACTCGTCTATCTTGATCAAAAGTCGAATAAGTTGCCTTTAAAAAACGAAAGGGTCCCGGGTAGTAGATGTAAACTTAGTTAGAAAATGGCTGCCAAAGTTTGATGTCTCCCAAAGCTTGAGAGTCCTTGGAAACTGCACACTTACTTTTTGTGGCTTTTATCAATGTTTTTCATTAAAATCCAAACTGTAATGTCTTTTTAAAAGGACGTAAACGGTGTTCACCCCTCCCCCCCCCCCCCACAAAAAAAATCGATAAAGATTGCCCAACGGGCAGGAAAATACTGTTTTCTTAAAATTCATTACTTTGACGAGCCATGATGCCTAACATTCTTATTTTGTTGTGGTTTTTATTTTCTTCTTGTTATTTTTAAAAATATTTTTTTTATGAACTAACCTCTTGATAGGTGTAATTAATTTAACGTAGAAGGTGGCCTTTAACGCTCACCGGCTTAGCCCTTTTAGATCTATAATAATATTCTCAACCAAGACGTTCCCCTTTCACTCCATCAGCGATATAAAGGCTATTCTCACAATCCCAGACCTAGTCCATGTCTGCTGCTCCCCCCCTCCCCCAACGCCCCCCCTTCCCCTTTGACTACAGGAAACAAAGCCCACAACCGGGAGAGGCTCCTATAACCATTCATTACCTCGTTTCCTTAAAAATAGTTCTAGTAATGGGTGCGTGTGTAGTGCGTGTTACACATGTCCCAAAAATACCCCTTTCTGTCTAGAAGTCGCTACAGCCCATTAACCTATAGGGAAAGAAAAAAAATGTGTGTTTTGTATTAAGGTCTAACATAGTCAAACCAGTAACCCTTGTCCCACGGTCTGCCTGCCTGCTACCTGCACTGGATGGGGCATTCCTAATTTCCTACACTGCTAAATATAGTTCTTTGTCGTGGCGAAGAATCATGAACATGTCTGTCAAATTGCCTACCTTTCCTGTTCTTCTTCTCTCCGCCTGCCTCGGCCAAAGCGATGGCGTCATCAAAATGTGTCATCCCAGCGACGTTGAGCGCTTGGTTCACCACAAGGAAAGCAAGACCCGAGCGACGTTTTTAATTAGCAGACGACACTCTTGAGTGCCAAGAACATCGAAGGTAAAGAATATGAACCTTTC